TTTGTTTCGAGATGGCGATAACAACCTATCCTAAGCAATGATAAACCCCATCTGAACGAGATGCTAGCATAAATCCTGTGCTCTTTTGACATTTTCCGCAGATAGCGTAAGCTAAACATCAAACTTCGTATAAAGTACACTATCCTTTTGCTAAACGGTAAGTACGTATACGATCTTTTATACGAGAAGAGCGAGATTTCATCGAGTTGTAGAAATTTTCGTACGAGCACGAATATGTTTTCTGAGTTTTATTACATCGGCTCATCTAGCAAGAATTTTCACCTAGATAGATATAATACGAAAATTGCTATCGAATGAAGAAATTTCGAAAGATCGTTAATCTTCAAGTCTCTCATCTTTATGATTTGATCGAGCAATTTAAATTTCGAGTCTACGAGCGTGATTGACACAATCTTCCAAGGTGACAGAAGAAATTACAGTGTATCTTTTTCTCGAAAGCGACTGTCTCAACAATTTCGCCCCAGGACCCTTCGAACGTGACAACGAACAAATACCTGGAAGTAAGCTTGTTATGCGCGAATATTGGCCGTACGTATGTGTGTGTAAAGAGGAAAAATAAGTTGCCACAATCAACAGTGTATTTATACCGTTTAACGAGTACAAAAATGATTTTCCTGCGGCCCAGTTTTATTACAAGGCATTAGCGATTCACATTCGTTTGAGACTTTTCGCGCGCTCCTATATTCATACATGCATACACGCTTGTCCGCAATACAACGTATGAAAGAGGCAAATACGAGAAAAAAAGCAGCGAGATTCAACACACTGACCGTTTGTGCGAACTTGTATATATAAATATAAATAATAATAATTGCGGGGAAGGATTTATCCTCATTAACGGAGCCGCGCATACAAGTTGCAGCTCGAAATCGAGAGAGTGTCTACGGAGATAATTTTAGTAAGTCGTATAATATTGTGTGCAGCAGTCACGTCGACGCCTTCCGTTCTATTTCTCGAGGGCGCGGTTTATACTTATGCGCATATTAAATATAAATGCACTCGATGCTCATCATCTTTACAAATACAGACCTCATATTTTTAGTTTCCACATGCGTTTTCCCAATAAAAGTGCAATTAGAGAAGAGGAAAAATGTCATATGAAACCAGACCTATCTTATCTTTAAACACCTAAAGGACATTTCAACGCTTCCTCGCTCAATTAATTTTGCCAATTCAGTTGACAACCAGTTCAATCTTAAGTTAATTTTTAGTCCAATGAGTTTTTTTTTATTTTTCCATCTCCTCATTTGAATATTTCATATTCGAATCATACTCGAAAACCTATATTGGAATACGCGTGATGTGTGTATTCATTCGTACTTATACTGTTATTTCGCTTGGGGCTGAAGCGCGATTTTCTTGTACTATTTCTGATAGGATAGGCATTAGTACAATACTATGTTTACTGAGCAATTTTAAGAATGGTTAGGCTGCAGCATAGAGGTGGTGATGATTCCTTATTATTATATATAGTACAAACATAATTGGCCCTGAAAGTAGGTTAAAATGATGTTCCCATCACTTGGTGCAATATCGGAACTTCGAAGTGCCTTCAGAAACAGTAAAATATGTGCCAGCGTATAGCCCTCAGCTCGAGCCTTTCCATCTCTTTCCTGTTCTCTCTCTCTCTCTTTCTTTCTCTCTAATTTCAATCAATCTGAATTCATTCTCAATATTATATGTACACGATCTTCACCGAACATCTAGACTATAAAATGCAGAAAAAGAACAGAATTAGCTCATTTTGAAATGTAGATGGTCAATACTGTTCCATAAAAATGTCCTTGCAAAAGAAGTTACACAAAAACAGGTGAAGAGGCCAAGTAGCTTGGAAAAACCACGAGAGTATAGTACAAGTATAAAACAATTGTAGCTTGTCACGTATCGATTCATGAGAATTACTAATAGAATCATTGAACGGTGGGGCTTAATCGTTGGAAGCTGCAAATCGGCTTGTTCGTTCTCTCTCATTCTCGTGCGGCGAGCAATTCTCATTAGAGACTTGAAAGATCGGCAAAAGAAACGGAACCTGCGAATGACTCTGTATACTTGGCGACTCGACTGTGGCATTGCCGGAGCGTAAGGCCAAAGAAAGAGAGAAAGAGAGAGAGAGAGAGAAGATGAATATAAGGCGCGCAAAGAAAATAAAACAATAGGGCTGGCGAAAAATGAGCAGACCGGTTGAGCGCACGAATACCGATAGCGCAGTGCGCTGCAGTACGGCTGGCCTGGTAGCACGTCGGTAGCGGCGCAGCTTAACAGTAATACAAATTTTCGAACGATCACGATGAGCATGCGACGACGTGCATAGTGAGCAGTGCACGGCAATACAGTTGCGCCGATGCTGCGCGGTATTAACATTATGTACATTCTCGCATAGCATACATACATAGACGCACGCGTGCAAACTCCGCTTTTATACAGGAGTTTTAGTAGTGACGACATACATGACGTCACAATGAACTGCTGCTGCTGCTGCTGCTGAGCTGACTGGCCCAACTGACACGAGCTTCGTCTCGTCGTCTATTAATTCATCCACCGGCGCATATTTACGCATTCAGTAGAGCTCCTCGACTCTGACCGAGCATCCTTCCGATTTGCTAACCCTTTGTTCGGAATACAGGAGCGGAAAATCAAGATAATGAAGATCGCTCGAGGACATTTCCAATGGGAAGAAAACAAGAACCAGCCAAAGATGCGAAAAACACAGAGGGCCTATATATATATGTAGGAGGAGAGGGGGGGGGGGGCAAAGGAGGTGGAGGCGAGCACCGCTACATACCCAGCCTATTTGACGAGCTTAAATACATTTAAGGACACGAAACGGCGCAACAACGAAACGTGACTCACGACCTTCCCGAGGAGAGCAACGAGTTCGCTAGCTCGCTCGCGCTCCAGTCAAAATGCCGTTTCTTTTCTTTTGAGCTCGAGGCTGCTGTTGCATATTGTGCGTAACAGCTCTCCTATGCCGCCGCCACCCTCCCTCTCTCTCTCTCTCTCTCAGCCATTGTCGTTTCAAATTGATAACCGAGTCGCTGCGGCGAGCTACCACTTAAACGGCCGACTGATGCATTCCGAGTGACATACTTATTGCATTATACATGGCCGAGTATATTGTGCTTTCGTTTACGCTGTATCGTATACATATTCCGGAACTTGTCGATTTTTACCAACTAATTGGTTGGCGATCAAGCTCCAGGACTCACACGAGCTGCGATCCTGCTTGCCGATAAATTGAAAAACTTTGATGTAGGACAGTACCCAGTTGTAGTCGTTGGCCTTTTATGTAACCACGCAACAAAGTGTGCAAGCTGCTGCTGCTGCTGCTGCTGCTCATGCTGCTGTTGCCACCGCTAGCCCCCCAGCGTTACCCTATCGGCCAACTTCATCTTGAGCCATTTAAGCATGTTTTTCCTGTGTTTTTTCAACGTGAGCAGCTCGCAATCGCGTGTGTATCCGCGCCCTAGCTGGAGTTGCACGATGGCGTGCGTGTTATCGATGAGCTTAATTTCATCGTTCAAAAGTGTCATTTTTTTCATAGACAATTATCTGATTCAGATAATTACAATTTCATCCATTTGTTGTCTAGACTGAACTTGACAACGATATTTTAAACCAGTTTCTATTGGAAAACTCAAGTGATTAATTTGTTACATTTTTCTACTCTTACACTTGTCCTAAATAGTATTGCATACTTATATTATGTCCACTTTGACGTTTGCACAGTGAAAGTGATTTTCACTTGACGCCTCTAACGTGAGCATTACTTACGACCATTTGTTAACGGAGTGCAAATTTATGTCAGAACATCAGCGCTTAACTGATATCGACGAGGAGGACGATAATGAAGCGGGGACCGGGCTGCCCTCGAGTGTTGTTGAATCAATGATGCATTGCAAGCTCGTAAATAGCTTTGTGTGTTTTGTACAAAAGAAAGTATAACTGCCGATGAGCATAAGTCAAAATTGCCGTTATGCATGCATACAGGAAGGTACAACAGGCACAGAACATCCTATGAGAAAATGAGAGAGAGAGAGAGGGAGAGAAGAGGCGAGAAGGCATGAGCGGCAGCTCGAAGCGCACGAGGCACATGTGCGCCCAAGTAGGTATAATAAGTAGTGTGCACCACAGCCCCACGTGTATTAAAAGCCTCGCAATTTATTAAACGCGGCCTTTCAGCGTAATTAGAAGCTACGTGTCATCTTTGTCAGAATATAGAAACTGCATTAGGGATTTAATAGAGCGAAAAGTATAGCAGCAGCGACGTCTACGGCGGCTTAACCTGAGTCTTCTCGGCGAGGTATACCGAGAGCTTATAAGAAGTCGGATCATCAGAGTATTACACAAGTACTTATTCATGACGGCGCTATATGTTGCGATCCAGAAACATCTTCTTCTCTTTGCACCCTCTTCCTTCATACGTACGTACGTATACGTATGTATGTACGTGCTGCTCCTGTTGCGGCCGAGAGCAGCCCCGGCAGTTACAGCGATCGAAACATTATTATTCGCCATTCTGTGCAGAGGATTTATTTGCCTGACGCTGCAAACACCGTGTACACGATTCAGCTCGTATCGAGTCTGCGGCGCACTCGTGCGCCTCTGTTATAGCTGAGGTCCGAGAGCTGCCTATGAGTTAATACTTACGATAATTTAAGCTGAACTCGGGCGAGATTCGATCATCGTGCCCGCACCATTTATTATATTAATACAATTTTCGAATAACTCGAGAGCTGATGAAATTTTTTACTGATTTCCGATTCTATCTGTGCTTACTACCTCGTAAATATCGTTTGATGAATTTCATTTTGTTCAAATGAGTTGAATGTAAATAAAAATTATAATAAATCATTTTTAAATTAAAGTAAGAAAAGTCGGAAGGTTTTTTTTGCAATTACGACAAAACTATATCAAGAGTTTCAAATATTTTTTTATTCTTAAAAAAATTGAAGGAAGTTTATGTGAAAGATTGTCCAAAATTACTTAGCGTTGTAAATGAGAGCGGGATGCGTTGGCATGTGAGGTAAGTTGGCAAAATGGCATATTTCTATTGATCAATGACTTGTATTGAGATAATATTATCAGTAATCCTAACACAATAATATGTAGTGTTTGTTTTCAATAGCACCATTTCGATTCAAGCGATTGATAAGGAGAAATTTTCCATTTTGTCGACTTTTGCTCCGATGATACACTATATTTATGTGATTTTTGTGATTACCTTTTTCCGCAAATGATTAGTGACAAATTTCACATTCAAAGGATTGGCTCTGATTATGTACTGTATCAATATGAGTTTTGAGATTACCTTTTTGTCCAAATGATTTGTGACAAATCTTACAATCGAAGGGTTTGCTACGATCATGTACTGCAGTTACATGAGATTTGAGGTGACTCTGGTATCCAAATGATTTGTGGCAAATATCACATTCGAATGGTTTGCTACCATTATGTATTGCATTTATGTGAGATTTGAGGTTACTTTTTAGTCCAAATGATTTATGACAAGTCTCACATTCGAAGGGTTTGCTCCTATTATGTATTGCATTTATGTGTTTATTGAGGTCACCCTTATATCCAAATGATTTGTGGCAAATCTTACATTCAAATGGTTTGTTCCGAATATCTACTGTATTGATGTGTTTTTTTAGATTACTCATATGTCCAAATGATTTATGACAAATATCACATTCGAAGGGTTCGTTACCATTATGTACTGTATTTATGTGGTTTCTGAACTTCAGTTTTTCTCCAAATGATTTCTGACAAATGTCACATTTATAAGGTTTGCTGCGATCATGTACTGCACTTATGTGAGTTCTGAGGTTATTTTTCAGTCCAAATGATTTATGACAAATATCACATTCGAAGGGTTTGATACGATCATGTACTGCATTAACGTGCCTTTTGAGATTATAATTTTTTCCAAATGATTTATAGCAAATTTGACAATCAAATGGTCTAATGCTCTTATATGTTTTTTCAACATGTGTTTTCAGGCTCGCTTCTTTTATAAAATTTTTCCGACACAAATTAAGCTCATGTGATATTTTTTTTCGAGTTCCTTTTTCAAATATATGATCGTCCTTGGAATTATCAAGCTTCAGTATAAACTGTCTTTGAAATTGGCAGTTATTATTGTAATTAAACCCTTTTTTTATTAAAATTACTAGCCGTTTTTCATTCGAGAAATTTTTTTCTATTTGGTTTTCTATTTTCACAGTAGGCAGGAAATTTTGATACTCCGTTTTGCACATGGTTCTCGATAGAGTCGTCAGTTCAGGTTTAACATATTTGCACTCAAAATTTACAAATATTTTTTCATCTACTTTTTTTTGAAACAACATAGCCTCGTTTACGGCATTCACCTATAATTAAAATTGTTTAATAGTTTCAGATAATGGAAATACAGAGCATAAATTAAATTATTAAACTCACTGATGATTTATGAAACGTGAATGTTTCAACGTTTTTGACTTCGCAAGAGTCCACCAAATCGAAATAACCATCGTCTGTATTTGGCCAGGTATCGTTCGGCTCTTCCTTCGCACTGAGCAATAATAATAACTTTGAAGAATTTATCGCTTAATAAAATATCATGTTATGTACAAAAATAGTCATACTTAACAGTGTTCTCTCGGCTCTCGATCATTCGCTCGATTATATTTAATCACTGTGAATTATCACGATACGCACGGAGTAAATTTTTGAGGTTAAGAGCCTCGAGCATTCGATTTTGGGTTGATAGCTATCTTTTACTGATATTATTTTTAAACTGTTGATCACCAAAAAATTACTCACTAGCAACTGCTACACACTATTCGAATATTAGCTTAGCGAGATAATCTGGCAATTGTGATAGTGCGAGCTCCTTCGCGACCCTTTCTTATCTATCGTCGACTGGTTATGTGTAGTAATGTACACCTGCCGAGTTAGATACTCGGACCTCGAAAATTTGCGATCGATTAGTCGCTCCCTTCACTGCGCAATGTACATGCTGAAACTGTAACGCACTGTTGTTTATAAACAGTGAAGGAAGCGACTATAATCGATCGCAAATTTTCGAGGTCCAAGTATCTAACTCATCGGGTGCACTGCTATGCAGAGAAGCTCTTGCATGGTGTTGATATTATACCGAAATTTTAGTAAAAACTGTAATCATTTTTTTGTAAAATTGGCTAATACATATGTTCGATATAGTGGGGTATTGAAGACCTTAGGAAGATCATATCACTGAAAGCTAGACTCACTCGCAAAAATTAGTCACTGGCAGCCGTTAAATCTTGATCGACTGATTCAAAGAAATGGGCAGGCCTGATAAAGGAATTGGAGGGAGAAAATTTAGTAGTATTTTTGATGTTAAGTTTCATAGGAAATCGATTTCATTATTTACAGAAATACAAAAAATAGCAGGTTTTTGCTAGCATAATATTTTTTTATCAATTTTCAGCAATTAATGCTAATTATTATCAACTCAGAACTCATAAAATCTTTACTGATCAGTTTCATGGAATCGAAATTCACTATTTATCTGCATCAGAGTTCGTTGCTTCTATAAATATGAGTAATGTGCCATCATATATCCCTGGAGTAACAATAGTTGTGAGGTATGCGAGCCGAGGCCCAAGAATTGTATCTAAGCTGCATAGCGTAGCAGCCGCGCTACACGTCGTATCATAATATTTGTGAGTGGTAATCGTTGTGCTAAAAGTACAAAAAGGTATAAAAAATTCAAAGAGCTTCCACTCACGTCGGAAACAATAGGACAATGGGCACGTGTTTCAGCTATATGACCACATGTGCAGCATTAATGGGCGCTTCCATGAAATGGCTTGAGCTTCACCTGTTATGCACCGATGCTCACTTGAATGCGCTCGCGCGCAGCACTTAACAAAGAGACCAAGCTAATACATCAGCTGATTTAAATTATAACTTTTCTCTCTGCTATTTCAAGACATATTTTTTGCTGCCGATCAAAATACTGAAAAGCTTTCCACCTTTTTTTCAATCATATTAGTCATTGGTTATCAAGACAAGTTTGTCAAACGTAGTCAAATGATTGATATAAGTATGACTTCTTTATGAGTAGATAGATTATTTAACTCATTTATTTACTCATAAAATATAAGCACTGCTCATCAACTCGATTTTATGCATATTAATTATATTATATAATTTTACTCAATTTGATTTTTGGCAGTATGGTCAAATTCTTTTAGTGTGTATGTAAATCTCAAACGTCGATGTACTTAGTGCCTTTATGAAAAAAACTACTGAATCGTTCTAAATCGAGGCATATATATTGTAAATGAGTTTGATGAATGCGGAAATAAGATATGTTGCGAACGCAATTGAACCATTCCGCGGTCAAGCCGATTTTTTTGCTCCTCGACCTTTTCATATACTATAATGGGATCATAGGCATCCAATGGAAAGAAGTAGCTGCACTTCCAAGTGTCCGCTAGGATTGTATGCATTGCAAGGAAGGTGTGAAAGAAAAAATAGACATCCTATCAGCGCGAAGTTACAAAGTAGCTTCGGTACGCGGCCTCGGCCGCGCGAAGGACGCCTAGCTAGGAAAAAGCGGATGCGCACTCACAATTTCATCAACTATATACTCGTCGCTATATTATACACGAGTGCAAAGCGTGTATCAGCTCTCGCGCATCTATTTATACGTAGGATTTCCATCTTATTTGCCGTATGACTGCGAGTCGGTGTAAAAAGTATAGCGCGTTGCAACCGATACGATTGCACTCGCCTTTGCGCTGATTGCAGCTCGTTATCATTCCGGTACTTGTTGCTTCGGCTTTTTTTAAATAACACCTATGGGAGATTCATCGGCTAGCAGTCCTATCTACACTAGATAGCATTCAATATTATTTTTAAAACGTATTTTTTGGAAAAAATGTCCTGGCGTAAAAATAAATTCCAGTTGAGTAATGCTGTAATTACTACTTATTGAAGATCAGGTAATCCAAGACTCTTACTCTTGAAAATCCCATCGCAAATGAATAGTTTTTATCAATATTTTATTATGCTCCTTCTCTCTTTTTTTCCTCACAAAAAATTCACTCTCAACGGATTTTGTTTTGCAACTTGTTTCGTGGCTAATCGGACCTTTCGGTTGGTCGTCAGGAAAGAGGCAATATCGAAGAAATTAACGATCGCGACAAGGAGTCGAATTTACTGCGCAAGGTCACACGCACCTGCACGAGGCGTTACACACCTCAAAGGCCAGTTTACGTACATTATACAAGTAATAGGTACCCTACGCAGCCTAATGATAATAATGGTTAGCCACTGCAGCACTGATTGTACTGCTAATAAGCAGCGCACACACACATACGAGTGTGTGTACGCGAAACACGTCAGAAAGTGGTGGGCGGATATACGTGCGCACATGCCTCGTACCGGTATGTATATAGGTACGTAGCTCGACGTTCCATTTCATCTTTGCATGCACACGTGCAAAGGTGGAATATACGTCTTGTCCATATGCTACTTGCAAATTGCCGGACTGCTCGCGACACAGATGCGAATCTCGAGCTGCGACTCTTGTCGCGTATAAACATGCAATTGTAATTGCGCAGGGGTCGGTAGCTCCTTCGATCACCATCTCTCTCTCTGCAGACGCGGCCGCGACTGCCTATATAAGAGAGAGAGAGACCGAACGAGAAAACCTCGACATAAATATGTGCGCTGTGTGTATGTGTACGTTTGTATTTGTATATGCACTTATACTTTACAGGATGTTTACAGTGCGAAGCAACGCAAGCGAGATAAGCCAAAGATTGTTGCGTGCCGTATGCTATAGTCACCCCTGCCCGCCGACCTAATTGAATCAACATTTTTGTCCTCGCGTGCATGTGGGAATCGACGCGCGGCAACATATACGACGACTACTTGTAGCACTACAAAAAAAAAAAGAAAAAAAAGGAAAGAAAGAAAAACAAACGTCACCGCTTCACTGACTTGCTGTAGCACATTTTGACGTGTATTTTAAAGTAATGAGATCGAGGCTGCCCGATACTTAAGCGCGACTCGCGCGTACCGCCCTCCTGCGTCGAAACTCCCTCTGCCGCCGCGCTTGAAGATGTTCGAAAGATATTTAGGTCATTAAGATGTGACTTTTTCTCAATTGCCACTGGCATGTGGGTAGTGCTTGTACACGCGGCTTTTACGAGCCCTCGTACAGTATACACACACACACACACACACATGCTGCAGGCCTATCTCAAGCGCCCATCGTTTCTTTTTAGTGCGAATATATATTTTTAATTTTTTTTTACTTTGTTGCGCGCACTTCGGTGCATGTCTGCGTGTGACAGCACTTTATATTACACTTTTCCTGATTGCAGACCCTTTTATCGTTATTATTTCATGTCGCAACGCGCACCTCTGCCTGCTCTTTCCGAGTAACGAAAAACTGATTTCTTCACTCACCATGTGAATAAGGCATAGATTGTTTCTCAGGTCTTATAATTATTACAACCAAAAAAAACGTCAAAGTCCAATGAGTATCTTATGTACAGTTAATTTACAAAATATCTGTTAAGTATATTGTTGTGAATCTGGGAAAATATATTCCGGACAACATTTTTAATTGCAGAAGACTATTTAGTAAATTGACAGAAATCCTTACCCACGGGCGACCATTTATTGCAGAAAATATATAGGATTAAGCATAAAAGCCTAAACGTAGCCTCAAGATAGTTAAGTAAAAAGTTGAATGCACTATGAATACATTTGGGTCTCGTTACATGCCACCGCTTTATGATAGCAACTGTGTTCATTTTTAATATGGCTATATTTTATATTATATTGTTAGGATGTTTTATCACACACAACGTGTACCTGTATAATATGTTAAGCAACTTCATAAATCTAGTGACTTTTGACAATAACATCGTTTTTGAAAAGTTTTACTTTTTTTATCAAGAACTCCTATTAAGGTGTCCGGTTTCTTGAAAACAAAATAAAAATATTGAGAATGTGATGATATTTTAATATAAAATTTGTGTTGGTAATTTTTTCATTTTTTTACAATTATTTCGAATTTTTTGTTACAGATTTATCATTATATGGATGCTAGCTGCTCTTTCAACAAGGTCACGGGTAAGTACACTTTATTTTTGTTTACTTAGAGTATCGTACTAATAGTCACGTAGATTTAAAAAAATCCTATCTCAAAAAGTGCAGATAAAAAAATTTTACGATAAAAAGAGATCATTATAATTATTTTTTTTGATACATTTTTTAAAATAGGATTTTTTAATCACTCTGACGTACGTGATTGTCTAATAGCAAAGTTTAAAATAAAATATATTTAGGCGGCAAGTGCAGAAAATGCTGATTTGGAATCAACGGCAGAAGAATCGTCTTTGGAGGATACAACAGAAGACTATTGGGCTGGCAGCGGGGCTGGTCCAGATGAAGAGGAAAACAGTAATAATAGTTCGAGAAATGAAACGCGGGAGACTCTAGCACATGAGGCCAGTGATCACGAAGCTGTGAGTATATTAACGCATTCTAACGATGTTTTTTTAATGATATCATCTTTTTTATTTAATGAAAGGGGAAAATCATGAAAAATAAACGATATCACATACCTTTTTTAAACGATGCATAAACTTGTGTATCAACTGCTAGAACACATATTAAGCATGCATGCTCTCATAGGTATAATAACAATTAAGAAAATTCGTCATTAAAAAAAGATTTACGAGCTTCTTACAATACCCACACTAAATTAAAAGGAACTAAACTCATCTAATTATAGGGCTTGATAAGATCTCGAATTACTGCTTTATATCAGATATCAATGTCTGCAATATTAAATGTAACGTTTCGTCTTTTTCATATTTATAAATGCATAAACGGAAACAAGTTTTCCAGTGCACAGCTGATACATCACTTTGTGGCAATGTTAAAATAGAATAAAACCCGTTGGATCTTGAATTACTCCCCTGAATTCCTGTACACTACATATTATAAACATGATACCAGTGTCAATTAAGTATTTTATGGGTTTATTTACCTTTTTACTCTTTTTACCCTTTTTTCATGATTTAACTAACTTGACACTATTCAATACACATTTCAAAAAGGGTTAATATGCTTCAATTATTTTTAAATGAATTTTTTTGTATTTAAATAACACGTATAGACTATAAGTAAAGAATTTGTATACTAGTAAGAGTGTGAAATTTCGAATCAACTATGTTCGGGAAACCAACTTATATTATTATGAATCCGTTATATTTATCCCGATTATCCACATTAGAGAAAAGATTGCTAAAATGCTTCAATTATAGAATATCAAAAAAAGCATTTTCTTCACTACGTGCAGATTCATTCCACCTATTTCTCTCTCTCTCTCTCTCTCTCTCTCTCTCTCTCTCTCTCTCTCTCTCTCTCTCTTCATCCTTCATCTTTCATACTTCAAGTTCTTAGAATAGCAGCGTCAATTTTGACTCATAGATGTGAAAGTGTACATCGACGATGTAGATTCTCCAGGGAACCCGTTGCAAAAACTACATCCGCATAGCTTTATCAAGCTTTAATTTGATCTTGTTGTAAGTTACCACTTTCATGCAAATTATCAATCAATACTATTATGACAGTATGAGAAAAATTCAACACTCGCAAAATGTTCTAAACTCTCAAAAAAGAAAGTTATTACATGTCTGTCTCATTAGAAAAACTTCTGAGTGTCAACTAAAAGTAACAGTTTTATTACGTTATGTGATTATAGCGAGTATTTAGTATATTGGAATTAATTCAGAATATCAGATAATATTCATTAATTTCCAGCCCAAATAAAATGAATTGCAATAAAAAATGTTAAAGATTTACAAAGATATTTATTTCTTCAGACATAAAATGTCATTTGTTCATTTGAATTTAAAATACTAAATATCTATTCTTTATCTTGCAAACAGCTTGCGTTGCCAAGTAGTCCGTTATCTTATCAAGCAAAGGGTAGAACAGGAAGGATGGCTAGTACAGAGCATCGTTAGGATCCAAGACAATTGTATAGGTACGCGCAGTAATAGATCTCAATTACTCGGTGCGTCGCAGTATACATATCTAAGTGTACGCACGCATCAAAATATATCTACGTTGTGTATCGGTTTATCCGTAATATATCTGGATAAGTACCCAATCACAAATTACGTCGAGGCCTATCTCACCGATAATGATTCTGGCTTATTGTAGTTCGTACATATATACACACATATACTATAGAGATGCAGTCATCTATTATAAAGGAAGATCAAGTGCATTATGAAGTGAGTATATACGTCATAATAATACGCACACGTGAAGATATGGGCCCATATACAGACGTGTGAGTGGTTCAATAATAAGGGACTGTATCATCAGAGTACTTGGCAAATTTATAAGACGTTCATTTGAGCCTCGATGACTCGCAATTTAATTTAATTTTCAACCATTCACACGCGATTACTTGCCCTCTTACTAAAGTACCTACGACGTAATGGTCAAGACTGACCGGCCAACTCGCAAGCAGATTAAAGCGCCGCATTATATACTTGATAAGCTTACTTATATACTTTACATATGAAAATTAGACAATTCATTGGTATTTTTGAATATAGCTTCAATTTCTTTATTAAATAGAAATAGTTATTTGATCAGCTCCAATATGTGCTTATTACACAAGATTATAAGAGTCGTAACGAGTTACAACGAGACAACATTGGTGTAAATGTGCCATAACGTTAGTATAAAAAAGTACTGGGCCTGTACAATACAATTTATGCGACTAGTATGAACTACGATACTTAAATACCAAAATCGAATTTGACCGTTTGGGGGTTAGCAATACGATATCTTGAGTCAATCGGCTACCTTCAAAATGTATTGTTTAAGAAATTGTTGAACAAAACAAACCGTACTCGCTTCTTCCAGTCGCAATGTTCGTTTTAACTTGTGTGCCAAGCTTACTCATCTGCGTCTTACGAAGCTATGCTTTGGCTTATAAAATTAATTTGACTTTGCCACTAGCAGATTTACAGATAATAATTCTCGCTATCTAGCGGTGGAGTTTGGCTTTAATTTTGATCGAATTATTATGAATTTTCGTAGGAACTTTGATCAATAGTTAAATTGGAATACATAATGTATGTCATTGCATTGTCATCTATTTTGTACATTTTAACTATGAGAATTCATAGTTTGTTATAAAAAATTCTGTCAATCTAAATCAAGTCTATGCATAGGAATACGCAAAGTGAATACAATCAAGTTTTCGTCAATATGTTTGGAAATTTTTTCTTACGATTCTGTAATTATTCAGAAAAACGTTTTTTTAAATGTCAGCTGTTCACGTTGACACGTCACAAAGAACAACTCAAAAGAAAAAGATCGCGAGTGCAAGAGAGAAAGACCGTAAGCTATAGTATTATATCAAGTTACATCATCGTTGTACGGTATAATGCATGCATAGCAGAGCATCGGTAATGGAGACGTCAAATCGCGAGAGGCGCAGTTTAATTACGATCGAGCGCGCGCGCGCGCGGATCACTGACGCACGATCGACTCGTGCGCTCGGCTGTATAAACCGCTGTTCTACATACTCGCGTACCTGCAACAACAGCACAAGCTCGGCGTCCAACTCGCTTTGGCAAGTTCGTATGCATATACGTATACGTTTGTATAAAGGCTCACACGAATATCACGATGTATACCTACGCGAGAGCCCACCTGATCTATTTGTTTTCACGGCATAAAGCACTGGCGATCCGAGTACTGCAGGCCCCCCTTGCTCGAACACATATATAATCAGCAAGTGCATTATCTATATACACACAGACACACAGACAGAGGGCTGCACGTCGCTGCTACGCGGCTAGGGTCAAGTTATGTATATGCGCCGGTTCGGGACCGATTGGGTGTAATTCGTGTTTGCGCGTAGCCGTATCTGTGGTGTGAATTCACCCGCGCTTCGGCTAACGGTTTTTCGCGCACCCATCCTTTAGCTGCCTGAACTCGACTCGCGATGCTCCGCGGCCGCACATTATATACCTACCTCTCGCTCTCTCTCTCTCTCTCTCTCGTGCGCCAGCTATAACACCACTCGCAAACTTCAGCTCCTATTTCCCGTGATTTATATGTTACTTTTCGAGTCGATTTTTTTTCGCCTGCAGTAGGCGCGCGTGTATATGGGTATAGGAGCAGAGGCGCGAATCGACCTATTATTCCTCCCGTTTCTTGCGCATCGCAGTGCCTTTCTCTTACTTTGTACTCGGCGAATTGCCTTTTTTACGCATACTTCATTTACGCGCATTACAAATAATTGCATTTAATATATGTAGCGCGCGCGCGAGCTTGCAGGTTTTTTGTCGGATACCATAATGCTGTTCGCGCTTCTCGATCCCTTCATCGCTCGCTACTTCCATTTCTTCTACTCCATACGATATTGAATCGAAACACGAGTTGTTTACATTGCTTGGGAATCCCCAATTTTTAATCCGAAATACGTCAAGGGCATACATTTCGAATAACGGTGGTTTGCGGATAATATCGGTATACAAATTGAGTATTTTGTAGTTGAAAGTGAAACGGGCTGATTGCTAAATGTAGAAAGATAACGATTACAGCACTTTTGTTTTTTCAAAGCAATCTTTTAGAAAATATCGAAGGAAAATGCATTCGAAATAAGTCCATTTTGCGGCTACATAAGTGTAATACATCAAGCGGTCGAGGAGCAGCAACATTATAGTTCGAGCTCCAGAGCTAAAAGCTTCAAAATATAATGCATTACTTAGCAGAATCAATGTATATTTATAGATCGAATTATCAGAAAATTACCTCATCGGGCGCAGTTGCGGGCAGTGCGCGGCCAAGCGCGTCCAAGGGTCTCTTGCGGCGGGCGCGCTTATATGGTCAAGCCATCATATACGTATATATAAGAGCGTTGGTTGCGCGAGAGGACGAAGATTGTTCAATAGAGGCAAATCGAAGCAATGCAGGGAGAGAGAGAGAGAGAGTGAGATGCGCCGCTTTAGGGCCGAGTATAGAGGCCTCGCGCTGCAAAAAGAAGCTGCAACACAAGTACATACTATACGGAGCGCCCAGTGCTCACCTATACATGCGCGAATTATTTTATGGTCTTGGAAGCGTTTCTTATAATAGCTTTATTAGGATTCGCAGCACACAGTGCATCAGTGGCATGTAGCAAAAAAAGTATGATTCATCGCGCTCACTGCAGTATGTACGGCGGCAAAGAAAGAACGAGGGTGTAAGCGTGACGCTGCGCTCTTTCTCTCTCTCTCTCTCTCTCTCGGTGCATCAATACTTGCATATACACGCGGACACACATAGCAGCTTTATGTATAGAGCTATATCTATGCTGCATGGCACACGAGATGAAGCGAGAGCGAGCTGGAGCTGATGCTGATGCTGCTGCTGTAGGTACGCGGCCTAGACGGTCACTGCACTTCTTTGCCGAGTCAAGGTCTTTCTTCTCTGTTTCTCTCAGCGACGACGACGACGACGACGACGACGATCACGTTGGTTTCGCTTTTCCATGTCCCAGGCGCACATGTATAGCGGCAGGCCGGCCATAAGTTTCTCTTTCTCGCGAACAAAGCGCGAGCTTGCTAGCTATAGCGAGGCAAGGAGCATCAGCATCAGCGCGGCAACAACGAATTATTTGTACGACGCCTCGGACACGCTTCTTTTTGCCGGCCTCGGCTATTCTACGTGCGCAGTTATGCAATGTATACGCGTATACATATAAGCCCTTTGTACGTATACGTGTGTGTGTGTGTGTATTATACAAGCGCATGTGCAGATACTCTTCTCTTCTCGAATGCTATATATATGCTACATAATTACCTTTGTGTAAAATTTGCACGTTACACGAGCTGAGCAAACACATTCATCACGAGAGATTCGCGAGTTGCCGCTTTATACACATTCTACCTAGCTTATATGCCACCACATGCTGTCTTTACGCATCTCTTTCTCTCTCCCTCTCTCTCTCTCTCTCGAGGCTCGTGATACGCGCAAATAAATAAAGCACCAAGTGGAGATCCTACCTTGCGATGCAGCTCGTGTCAATGTAGTAAGAGCTGGCGAGAACGACACATGCAGCTTACGTTATACCGATCCCGCTTGGTTTTGACGATCGGAGCTGCCTCGGCTCGTCGTCGAAGCTCTCGACTCGACGAAAGGTCAATTAATCAGGGCTCGCGCCTATACATACACATGTGTGTAGACACAAGCCGCGTCGTGGCGACTAATCGAAAACGGGAAAAGAGAATAACGCGTCGTTGCATGTGTGCGCAGTGTACAACACTCTCGAGTGCGGCTATAGTCGCGGCCTGCATCACATACATAGGGAGGAGGGATAAAACAAGCATTACTCGTCACATGCGAGCGTCGTGATTGCGCTCGACTATATAGCTCAGCTGTTTGTGTACGCATGAGTGCGGTATATACGCCGAAGGTACTATTAATCCACGGGAGGTGGCCCCGCGCGACCGTATACACGATATGCGCCGCGTGATGCGGCCTGCAGTACGCGCAGCTTTATGTACACATACGCACACACGTGCGCACATCAAGCTGATAAAAATCACGCCTGTGCTGTATACGCGTATACGAGAGCCGTGTGCTCGGTGAGCCAGCAAAGAACGAGCTATTGACGTTAATGACGCGACTCGTGAAACGCGCGGAGCCCATCGTCGGTTAGCGACTGCGTTATATGTGCACGCTACATATAATGTCATTAACGTCAGATAAAAAGAGAGAGAGAGAGAGAGAGAGAGAGAGCACGAATATGCGCCTGCACATGTACGCATATTTCCCGTAATCCGAGAGCAGCGCGAGCACAGCAGCATTCGCTTTCAACGATCGTCATGGAGCGCGCGGTTCGATCCTCGTCCTCCGGTCGCACAAGTCCTGCCAGTACGTGTGTGTGTGTGTGTGTGTGTGTGTGCGTCGACAAAAATCCACCGGAAATGATCCTATCGCTGTGCGACGTTACCGCCGCATATGCGAGACGAGCCAATACGCGCGATTAAAATGTAAAAAAGCTTCGAGCCTCGAGGTCCAATCAAGTTGCAGCGAGCAGCTCGTGTGTGGACCGCTCGCGTCGACGGACCAAAGTATGCGGAAACGTGTTTTCGATCATATAACGCGTTTCTCGGCTCATAATGAGTTTTTTCTATTATATGTACCTTCATATTTTTGCTCGTACCCCTCAATACTCGTATCATTTTCATTTGTGCATTAATTTATATTTAACGAGCTGTGTATGTCCAATTGTTAAAAATAATCACTCCAAGACCTTTTGTTTTTCTTGACTGCGATTTTCACAACTGACGATCAGTTAGATCGAATTTTTATTGATTCAATGAAGAGTCAAATACTATTTCAAAACCTTGCAATACTTTGAAAAAGCAAAACGCTATAATTGGATGATAAATGTATTCTGGAAGTGATAAAAGTTTTTCTACGATCTTTATGATTACCTTTCCATGACAAAAGCCGACAAAATATTAAGCGATCACAACGTGACTCGTCATCGCATTGATGACCCGCCGATGTACTGCATAACGTTGGCAATATTTACCCTCTACGAGTACACATAAAACAGCGGCATGGTTGTTTTCAGGCATAAATCGTCTATATAACTTATATAGAATATATCGAATTTTTACGTCACGCAAATGTCCTCTACGTTACTTTCAATACATATCTATTACAATAGTACGGTTATCTCGATTAAATGGTTTTCCCCCTCAACTTAGAAACGATCCTACGACGTGCTTGGTGTGTTTTTGGATTAAACTGCAAGCAAAGGGCATGAACCTGAGCAATACTCAGCGCAGGATCTTGGCTCTCTCGTTCGTGCGTGTGTGTGTGTCTGCATGTGTGCGAGCATCCAAAACGTTATATTGTAAGCACCTGCGCGCGACCTTTTCAAGGGTATGTACATCGAGAAGGTACGGCGAATTATGAATCCGCTGATAGCCTGATCGTGAAGTAACCTGTAGTATACAATATATACATGTTGGCATACGTCTATGTATAGAAAATAAGTATCAGGCCGCAGCGTAATGGTAAAAAATTGGCATGCCGATCAGGAAAGAAGATGACGATACGATGATCGGATGATGATGATATTGCCTGTACATCGCATAGATGTTTATTGCACCCTCGCTATTTATCGAATGTACATCTACACATACAGGCTATACTCACATGTTTTCGTGGGAGAGCTAAGCCGCGCGTATTTGCGGCATATGCGTCTGCATTTATAAAGATGCGTGAAACTTAATTTTTAATTGTCCCTGTGAGCTTGAGGGGTGGCTTATTACAATTTTTCATTTTTAAAAAATTGGTGAAAATTTTTATTTTATAATTTATCATATAATTCTAATATTTTGTGTGAACATTGATTGAAGCAACGCGCTCTAATGATTACTCTTTTCTTTATTAAATTAATTTTATATACATAAACATGAAACATATTGAATCATTAAAATGTTGACAATTTTTTATAAAAAATTTTGCGACACTGCTAGGTCGTGTACGTTGGCGAAGGAGCAGGAGCTCCATATGTACCGGTTTCGTCGTCCAAGAATCGACCGCTCGGTCCGAACTTGCAAGCTCTGCAAACGCTACAAAGCCTGCAAGCCCTGAGCGGAGGCGGCGCTGCTGGAGCCGGTGCAGGTGCCGGCGGTGGCGGAGGCGGAGGCGGGGGTGGTTCCGGAACCGCTACCGAGGAGGACTGGCGAAGGCATCCGGAGTCCTGGGATCGTGAGCATCGTCGCTACAGACCCAACACCACGAGAGTCCAACGTGAGTATTATGTACCCATGCATTCCTTCATCTTTCATATGTTTTTTTTTTTCATTCTCTTGATGCATAAAAAATTATGAGCATTGGAAATGACTTGCTTTGCATTTATACTTTTAAATGAGAACTACATCATCCTTCTAGTGTAATTTTTCTAAACCGTGCATTGACTTATACAAATATTTTGACTTGTCAACTTGCAGTTTAATAGACAAAGAGATACTCGCCATCTAGTGGTGAAGGTTTAAAGTGGTATAATCGTAATTAAAGCGGTTGAAAACTAGTCTAATTATTTTTTAAACGGCTCTAAAAGTCATCATGAATAAAGATAAAAAATGTGTACTGCATTTATTTAGCCGGTAGGCGCGCGTGCACCCACACAGGCGAACATCAATATCACATGAACCTTTGTACGCTGCAGGCCGAAGAAAGCGAATCTATAGCGTGGCGTCGAGTCGCGCGGAGAGTTGCCACTCTTTTCTCTCAATTATTATTAACTCCGTAAAAGGCTAAGGGCCGCTCGTTGGCTCGGCTCGGCCTGCGCAAGGTCTCGTATAGTTTTATTTGCTCAGCTCGCGTTGCAAAGGCCACCCGTGACCGAGCAGCATCGTGCATGTACTCACGATCGTTGCCGAGCGGTGCGTCGCGCCGTAATGACGTCATAAATGGCCAACCGCCACGGCTTACTCGCACACGTTACAGGCGATCTTTATCTCCTATGATTCTCCGAGGCAATTGTTATGCTAATTCAGCCTCCACCTACTGCAGTCGCACATCTTCGGCTCCTCGCATCCTCGCGCAGCAGCTGCATAATTCACGACACACGCGATGAGGACAGCAGTAGTGTACCCACGCGGGCTATGATGCGCAGTGGTGTCCGCACCACGACGTAGCCGCGACAAACTCGGCACTCAACGCTGAGCGGACAGTAAAATTTACACGGATAAAGTATAACCTGTGTCTTCCTCGTCGTTATTATTATTGTCAATTACTTTCGTTTGCTCGTGCGCTGCTGAGAAGCATCGCGTCGAGCACTTCCCCGGCACTTGTAGCTGCTCGAAGCACCTATATGAGGATGGTAGCTACTGGTATTTTTATTCGGACTTAACTAATTCAAAGTACAAAGTGCAGACGTCCTCCGCACAACTTTTTATTCCTCTCCGCGCGGGCCTTCTTACAAAGCAAAATTTCCAGGTAATTAGCTGCCCGTTTCTGTTACCACCGTTCTCTTCTCATTTTTACTTGTCTCCAATTTTTTTTCATACTTTTCCATTTTATTTTATACTGACTTCGTTTTTGCTCTGTTGAATATATTGTGTACGTGTGGGAGCTTGTTATTAGATTTTTAAGAAATATTTCAACGCATGGTTCCACCAAATCAAAGCTGTAAAGTTTTACGGAAAATTGAAAGCAAATTTCATGAGTATTTCACAACATAAAATGTTTAAATCATCGTACACCATGCTTTGATAAGTGCCTCATCTTTACATTAATTTAACTTTTTTTTTAATTTTCGTTTAATATTGAATGGTTTTTTTAATAAAAATATTCTAGAGTTTAAAAAATGTGCAATTATATAGATAATAACTACGACTGTGATTTCATATATTTTTCATTTTTTTTATATGAAGTGACGTTGGTTAGACCATTGTTCAAAATCCTTGCGTCAATGTTAAAGCTGTTTTTATTCTATGCAACTCGAGTAACTCGATCATAAAGTGTTCGCGTGAGCTGGCGATCCTGTACGGAAATTCTCTTTCAATACTTGAAATAAACTATGAAATACTGATTGTTACCGTGAACAGCGGTTTCATACAAATGCACATGAATGTAACGGTCATCCCCGCGTTGAACTTCAGATGTAATTCACGGAAAAATAAAATAACGAGCTTAAGAAATGAAAATATCTTTTTTTGCTCCTTCAAAGTTCGCGAAAGTGCTACAAGCATCGTGTTACCTTTGTGGGAACTCGAACGGACAACTGACAAGAACAACCAAAATTTATATATTTTAAATGTTTGTAGAGCTATATTTCTATTTGTGAACTTGGGCATAACCATACGCCACTGTACTATAAAAGCGAATGCAAGTTTTGAAGTTGACTCATTCTGTATTGTGACTAAAATTTATTGCATTATCAGTTTACTCATTAAAACAAAAAAAAGTGTATTAGTAAATAACAGTCATGTAACACATTTGTAAACCCGGAGGAGAGATAAACAGAGAAGTTACTGTAAGAATGGAAATAAGGAATCTTCTAATTTTCTTCAAATAAACTAAAAGTAACGAGTTTTCACTGTTGAATAAGAGAAAAAGCGAGAATGACATAGGCTTTTACCTACCGAACCGAGTCAAGAAAAAGAATTTATGTACCGGCCTAAACACACACGAACACAATGTGCATGACGCAATAGCTTTGTTCGAACTATCGATCAAAAACAGAGCAGTATAAGATTGAGCTACTCCCAGAAAGACCTGTAGTTAGCGTTTGATTGGGCAGTAAGGTATATACATAATAAGTGCTACTGTACTCGCGGAGCAGAGATTCGAATCGTCATGACGATCGTCAGCTGCAAGGAGGTCTCCGCCGCCACACGCGCAGGAAGAGAGCCTCGACGCGAATCCGCGGCTGTGACTATCGCTCGGCGTCGATCGGACCCGCAAACTGCCACACATCCTATATATTATACACCGGGGCTCGCAGAAGGCGCGTGCGGTGCAAACCATCCGGCGGCTCTCGCGGACTTTCACTCGCTCGTGCAAAAGTCTCGTGGACTGCCTCGCGGACCGGTCGAGCATCACTGCGCCCGCGTGCGTTGCAGCCAAATATATGTACGCACGCGCCTCGCGGTATCACTCGATTCGCGCAGGCGATTCCAGTCGAAAATTTCGTAAGAGCCCCTTGCAATTGTGCGTATTGTTGTATGTTTCGCGCATTATGCACCTATATACGCCACACACACACACAACACCCACCCGAAAGAGAGAAAGAGATTATCATCGTTCGCTTTTCGAGTCGAATGATTTTTCGTGCCTTCACTTGTAACTCGAATCTACCTCTCTGCGGGTCTGGCTTAAACATTGTTTTTTTATTCGCAATTTATACGTATTTACGTATTACATATCCACCGCATTAATGCATACGCTATTCTGGCTTTTTTTACCATCGACTCCAAGGTACTTTTCAAAACAATGACGATGGGATGAGCCACGAGATAGCCATTTCGTTTCTGAGCTTAATTTAAAAACAATCAAGAAATGATTAATGATACTAATCTTTATTTAAAGTCCTTGAATAAATAAATATACTTCGTCAAATGAATTTCACATTTACTACAATTAGTGCTACCTTTACAAAAAATTTTAATGTATGCTTTTGAAAGTAAAGGTCGTTGAATTCTGATTCACCATACGAGCTCTGCATACTTTTTCAATTATTTTATTCATGAAAAAATTGTTTTTTTTATCAATTTAAAGGTACCTTAATGGCATTACAACAAAAGATATACAACGAATATCACGAATCCCTTTTCAATGTTAACGCCACAGTTTTTTCTGTTACGAGAACATGATGTAGCCGGTCATTAACTTTATTCTCATGGCAATAATCAGCAGTAGTGGCCTTTACAAGTTTTATTCGACTTTGGCTACGCGGGGCGCGCGCATTCATGTGGATCACGAATCTTCGAAGATTCACGAAATATGATAATTAAAATTGCAGCTCACCCTCTCGGCGGCTCTCATATATGCACTATAAATAAGGTATGAATCGAATTTAATGTGTGTTCTCACTCTTTTTCTCTCGTGTTTTGCAGATATCGAGGCGGAATGCCAGGACGACTACATGAAAATCCGCATTGGTTTCAATGGATCTTTCAACGGCTTGCTGTACTCGGCGGGTGAGTTTAACTTAAACAATTTGCACACCCATTCGCACGGACTTCACATTATACAGTGGGCATCGAGAACGGGCATTTCTGATTATTTCCAAGTTTATTTGCGGCTGCACTTCCGCGAATGCCATTTACAAACAGATAAATCGTAATTAGCAGACTTTAAACGAGTTAAAATAATAAGCCACGTACGCGAAGATGTAATATCGTGTAATACACGCCAGCCGCAAGTGCGAATATGAGAAAAGTGAATGGGAAAATTAAAGATAGATCGGATCATTATCTGGTCAATATAACAACTACAATGTCGATAATGAGTACATGTATTTATAAACATGAGGAAAGGAGCAATAAAGGAGGTGGGATATATATTTTCTCATTGCGCCGAGCTCGTGCGCCGGTCTCTCAGCTTATATTCGCGAAAATCGCATTTCTTCGACTCATCAAGAATTACGCGTCGGTCACGCCACGATGATCACCAGTCGTTGATATTAAGTATCCAACCAAGACTCACACGATGAATTACTGCTTTTAGCTGCGGTCTCTTTAGACAACATCACGAATTCAATCCAATCGACTCTGTGTATCTATCTGTCTGCATGCCTCTTATACCTACATGCCTATACGGTATATGCACGTGTGTATGTGTGCTTGTATTTGCACGGTGCACAAGGGCGAGTGCAAAGGGCTCTCTCTCTCTCTTTGCTCTCCTGCAATGGCACAGACATTCGTTCTGTCTGTCTATGATTCGCTATAATAAATAGTTGTACTCGCCGAGTGAGTAACTAAGCGCAAACTCGCGAACTTATCACAACACACAAAGAAATGCTGCAGCTAAATGGATCGATAAATTTTAGCGTAAATCGAAAGACAATTATTTATTACCATAGCGCAACAATTCGATCTTTATACAATAACTGGCCAATAAGTTAACACTTACAATAAATTGATAAATCAGAGCAGAGGAGATCTTTGACCCTTCGTAGGTACTTATAATATCTACGAACAACCGAAGGGCATCGTTGAAACTTTTTTGATTTTTTATCTAAAATAAGTACCGAGTGCGTCGGCAACGAGCAGCTTATAACTTACAGGGATGACTCAAATAACCCATAACACGTTTTTCGCGATAATCGCGCGCGCCAACATGCTTATCGCGAGCTCTATGGACGTTTTCATTGGTGTAATATTCGAGGGAATTTGTACCGATTCTTTTGAATTTCACATAAAATCAATTGAACTTTTAAATTGAAAAAAAATTGTGAACTCGAAAAATCTCTTTATCGAATCGGAATTCACAATCGTGACTCGATTCACTAATATCGAGCATTAAAGTTGATCGACATACAGACTGAAAACTGTAAGCGAGACGTACAGATTCTTTTCGTCAGACAGCGCGATAAATCGGGGTAAAAGCTTGATGAAATAATACAAAAAATTCACATCTCACTAAATTGAATTTATATATTTCTCAGCATTCCCATGTATAACTGTGCAGCCGAGTTTATTTATTGCGAAACGTGCGCGCTGCTATTGTGCGCTCATCTCTTGCGCCGAGATATACTTATATTATATGATACACCGTTTTCTTGATCAAGGAACTCGTACACTTCCGATATATCCGACATATAACTAGCTCGTCTCTGCTCGCGCGCGCGCGCGGTATATACACCGATTTATACCCGAGTTTCATTCTCTTTTTAGCTATTAATATCGATTTCCTCGTAAAATGCATGGGGCAACGGTGCGCTGTCGTGAATCCCATTGGCATGCGATTTTTCAGTCGGCGATTTATTTATTTTCGATGATGCGATAAATTATTATTTAACAAACGCGCACGCGTGGAATGGACGATGATAACGAGTCAATGCACCTATGAAGACGATACCGCGCGAGTCTGGATGTATATTTCAACTCGAGTCGCTAAAACGTGTTCTATGAATATTTAATTTACTCTTTCGGGATTATTTTTACTTGTTATATAGATATTACCTCTGCGCAGTAAACTGGATTAGTCCGAGAAAATAATGGAGTGTGTGTGCACACGCGTTATGCAGCAACCGTCATTTATTGATTTATTTGCAGCCCAACTAATATGTATTTAAATACAAATGTGCAAAGCTCGACGTAATTGTACTGGATAAATATTAACATTTCACTCGGTGCATAAAAAAGAGCAACTGGTTTACCGAGTTATTAACATAACGGCCCAACAATCGATGCTTTAACATAATGTAATACATGCACTGAAGGAGGGCAAAAAAATAATGAGCGCATCGAAAGTATTTGTTCAACACTCGAGTATATTGTAACGAAACAAAGAAAAAAAAAACAAGTCAAACGCGTAAATTCATCAAGTCGAAGCTCGTACTATGATCGCAGCGATGCACGCGATCTCGATATCTCATTGTAAAATCTCTTTTTGGCGCGCGCCAGATAGGAAAAAAACTGCCTATACGCGCACATTTGCATGTGTGTCGGCGTACTTAGCTTCTAGCTCGCGATGCATATCCTCGCGCGCACGTGTGTACACGTGGGTTTGTCTGCCTCTGCAGATGATATTGCGATTCCAGATACGCGATCTGCTCTAGTCTGCAAGAGCTGCACACACACTTCTTTATATGCTTATATGTATTAACGATATACTAAAAGACAATCGACTCTTAATTACAGGTTACTCATACGACCCGGACTGCATGTACGTTAACGGAACCGGCCGGGACTACTATGAATTTTTCATTCAGCTGAATCGCTGCGGCACTCTCGGTGAGAACACGCATCATCAGGATAGTAGGAAAAATCCCACGGTAGGTTATAAAAACATCTCTCTCTCTCTCTCTCGAGCGCGCCTCACGGTGCAAGTGTGTGTTATGTTATGAGCAAGGGGCAAAAATCGGAGCATCGCACGCCACGGCGCTATATAACTGCGCCGCGAAGAATTCAGATCCCAGCTTGGCACCTCGTAAGCAGCAGCAGCTGTCCTCTTGACACATTTTTTGTTTCCCTTTTTTTTAATGATCATTGTTGTACTCGAGCCACGTGCGTATCATCGTGTCATTTCCAATTGCCTTGGCATACACATATGCGTATACGTGAAATGTTTCGCGAGGCAATCAGCGAATAACCTTTGACGCTTTCTTACAGAAAAATCTCATGTGGAACACGGTTACCGTGCAATACAATCCGCTGATCGAAGAGGAGTTCGACGAGCATTTCAAAGTTACCTGCGAGTACGGCTATGATTTTTGGAAGACGGTCACTTTTCCTTTCCTCGACGTCGAGTAAGTTTTCAACTCTTGATATTATACCTCTCTAATCCTTTGATCGTAGTACGTTCATCCGGCGCTCGTTTGATCGCTGCGAGACTCTAATAAGAAAAACAAAAAGCTTTATGACTAACGAGGATGTATTCGTTCAACAGAGTGGCTACGGGTAATCCCGTGGTATTTACCCTGCAGCCGCCCGAGTGCTACATGGAAATCAGGTACGGTTACGGCACATCGGGAACCAGAGTGGCCGGACCAGTTCGAGTGGGAGATCCACTGACGCTCATCATCTACATGCGCAGCAAATACGGTACATCTCAGCTTTTTCCTCTTCTTCCTTGACTCGTCCTTTTTTTTCTTTTCGTCGGGATGCTCACGTCTCATTACGAGATATTTCATAATGCGATTAGCGTATAATACCACCATATGGTTATTTGTAAGTCGTTTGTCGTCGTTATTTCAATCAACCATTGTGATCGATCCGGTGAGAATTACGTATATTTACACGTCGCGGTAAAAATTACCTGCATCTTTTAAAAACAAGTGCGCGCCGCGTTGAGAGCAAGCGAGCGCAGTCCTAAGAAGGAGGAGGAGGTATTGGAACCGGTCGGCGTCGATAGCCGAGTTTGTTCGTGCTCTATATTAATGCAACTCGACAGATTTGATCAAGTTTGAGCAATTTATTGATTAACGGTACCGGCTACGACGTGCCTCGTGCGCGCTGCGTCGCTGCTTCGACGCAACTGCTGCAGCGACTTTTTTTTGCATCTAATAACTTATCGGCAAGGGTCGAGGCGCGCATGTGCGTCGTCGGTCACTATATAATATAATTCCAGTGCAATGCAGCATAAATTATCGGTGATTTGTCATATCAAGATGTCGTTTGTAATACGCGTGCGCGCATCATAGGAACGCATAAATGTGTTCAACCCGATGCTTACATCGGTTCCGCGGGCGTGTCACGGAAAAATTTAGTGGTAAACAAGCGGCCGCGTGAAGCGCATTCGAAATTAATTTTTAATCGAGCAAAATATACGCGCACAAAAAGAAAGAGAGAAGGCAATAATATTGATATATTTGCTTGGTTTTATGATCGCCAGCAGATGGTTTCGACATCGTAGTGAACGACTGCTACGCGCACAACGGCGGCAACAAGCGCATCCAGCTGATCGACCAGTTCGGCTGTCCGGTCGACGACAAGCTCATCAGTCGCTTCCGCGGCTCCTGGTCCGAGAGTGGACTCTTCGAGACTCAAGTGTTTGCCTACATGAAGACTTTTAGGTTTACTGGCTCTCCGGCCCTCTACATCGAGTGCGACGTGCGAATGTGCCACGGCAGATGCCCAGTGAGTAGCTTTACCTTTGTTCTCGTAGCGCGAGCTGAAAAGTGTTTTGCGAATCGATAGCAATTTGATTGTTAATTTATTTCAGAGTCAACCTTGTCACTGGAGAAACGCCAAGACCGTGGTGAAACGTTCGGTGTCCGATGCCATCGAAGGCCCGTCAACTCCGGCCACCGCTTTGTCAGAAAACGTCAATCTCTTCCAGTCGCTCAGAGTTTTGCAAGAGGGCGAGGCTGATACAGAATTTTTCCAAAATGCAACGACCCCATCCCGCAGCAGTGAGTATAAGATCGATATTTTTTGGCCAGATGCTGGTCGACGAAGATCAAAACTCAAAATGCGCATCCCTACTATTTGCCACAGGTACTCAAGACCCGAACGTGGATCGAGTGTGTTTGCGACCTACGCTGGTGAGCACGGTCGTAGGTCTAAACTGCGCTCTACTGTGCATCATGGCCGGTTCGATGTTGGCCATGTGTTCGAGAATGCGACGAGTTGCTCGAGAGAAGCTCCTGTCCGACAGCATAAGCTACATGACTCACAAAGGACGCATCAATTAGACGGAAAAATTTCGATGCTCGCTACAGCATCGACAATCATTGTAATCTATATTGACACGCATTACTCCTCCGCTCGACTACTTACAACTGCCCAATCGACTCTTTTTATATACACTTCGTAAAAATCCTCGCCTTCGTTGTACGCGCCCCATGCGTCGCGAATAATCAAATCCACTTCCAAAATAACTCGCACATATGACAATTTTTTTAACGTCGATGATGATAATAACGCCCTACGTATAATCTTAATGATATGAAAAAACAAAAAACATAAACAAAGACCGATTGCGAGCGTGCGCAAGGGTGATTCAGTCCAACATATAATTATATTAGATTCTAATTATAATTGCTCGGACGAATTGCATGTTTCAAGTGCTCTTGAAATCTGAATGCACTAATTTAATTTCGCGTACGACTTTGATGTAGATTGAAAAATGGTCCTAGTTATCTTGATAAATATAGCTAAAAAAAACTTGTAAGCATCAATATACGAGCCAATAAAATGATTATCTCGTATTTACAATAGTATAAAAATAAGAAAAGTAGACTGAAAAAAGTAATTTATGATGTCAGAAAGAAATTATTTATGATTCACCTGGTAAATATATGCGTTATACTGTATTAAATAATATTTCGTAAATAATTATTGCATGCTTCAAGAAAAAATGATTCTCAGCTATTAAATTATCGAATCAAACAAAACGTTAAAGCATGAATCTTTCAAAATAACTTAGTCGTTGACAGATCATGTAATCATGTATAATTGGCGATCCAAATGGTTGTGTCAATAATTCAATAACAGATAATGGTTACAAAAACATACTTAACCGAATTTATATAATTGGTATTAAGAAATGTGAGATTGATTTTTTGTATGAACAATCATTAAATATTAATGAATTAATGATATTTTATTAAGCTTATAATAATCAATTTGATCAAATCAAAATTAAATGACATGTAGATAAAAATTGACTGAAAATAACGCACAAATACGTATTTTATTTGTACAACAATCCCATGTTGAAAATTGTCGCACTGAAAGTAATTTACTATGAAAATATTCACAAACAAGCTCCAATTGAATTATTTAATTATTTCGCTAGCATCAAAATTTATTTTTAGTTGGGAGTAATACTAAAATGACATTCATAATTGCGTTTCTTTAATTATAAGATAAGTTAAAGTTTATTCAATAGTATCATCATCTTTATTAATTAATATAATTATATTATAGTTATTATTAACATCAGAATAAGATTTGCAACCTTAACTACGAAAAGATTCTGGTACGGCCAGCGAGGATTAAAAAATATTTATGTGGTAAACTTAAAAGATAGATAGTTATTTGAAAATAACCTGGAGTAAAATTTAATACTGATAATCTAAAATTAGAAGAAGAATTGAAGCGAATTAGAATTTTTTCACCTTCGTTTGAGAAATGTGTTTATGTTGAATATATCGACATTATCATCAGATAATAAGTACACATAATATTTGTTTCCCCTCCTGATCGTTCCGTAAGACAAATAATTAAGTTTTGCGATAATTAATAAAAACTGTAAAATGGATTATGCAGTATCAGTATCCCTATGTTCAATGAACTACGTGTAAATACATTGTAAGAAGCTTAGAAGTAATTTACAATAAACAAATACATCGAATGTATCCAAGTTTAAAATAAATATAATGGAAAATTTAAAAAATCTTTTTAAAAAATCTTTATTTCTATTAAACTAGATACTAACGAAAGGGAGGGGGGGGGGGGGGGGGNGGGGGGGGGGGGGGGGGGAGGGGGGTGTAACATTAACTTTTTTATTATTGTTGCATGATTCTAAGAGCTTATACTTTCAATCCGGCAAAGATACATTTATAGGTTTGATGTTTAGGCTAAATGACAACCTTTCTAGAGTACTCAGTTGAATTTTCATTGACAAATACCAAATATTATTTGTTTATCGTTTCTCCTTTCATCGTTTATGCCGAGTCTGTAAAATGAAAAAACGTGAAGTAGAATGTTCATAACATGGGAATAACGCTATAATACGAATGTGCAGGTAGACGCCGGCTATGAAACTCACACTACACAAGCAAACAGATCGAACAAAAATGCTCCGCTAATCGCTGACTGCTATTCGAAGGGACACTCACACTCGAACAACGAGCCACAGGGGCCGAGGAGCGATCTATACCATCGAAAATATTTCGTAAGTTGACAATAAAGCAAACAGCATATAATCACCCAGCAAACTAAGATACAACGCATAACAGTACATTAAAGAGGTTCTGGAGTCTCAGCGAAATGCAGCAAAATTTTTAAAACACATTTAATTGCTTTGAAACTTTATGAAATGAATGTTAATATCAAAATACAACTTTTCACCGCAAAATTTTGTTAAAATAATGAAAAAAATTTTTGACCTTTTAACATAGTTTCTTACGGGAAATCGTGAATTTTCGCTTTCAATGAGCATAAACATAATGTAAAAAAAAAAAACTAAATAGAAAAAAAAATACGTACATGTAGGAAAATTAATAAGGAATAATTTGACTGCAAAAAGAAGTTCATCGACCGTTTAGTTAACGAGAAATAAATTATTATGTGACAAAATTCGTGGGTCATTTGCACTTACCCTAACCAACAAATAAGCTATATCAACAAAAATATGTGCTCATTCGACTCTAATGAGAAATAAAGTATTGTTTTAAGCCTAAAACATCGAAAAATACTCATCAAAATGATTGAATTATTAATAATAGCTATAATTGTGTGCCAGCTCATTCAAAAAACCTACAATTTCGTGTTATTTCGAAGTTGGCAGCGCTGAAAATTTAACATTGGAAGTATAGGAGCCCCTCGCGTCCCGCTTCGTCCCCCTCTGAGACTCCCGAACCTCCTTGAGATAAAAAATTTTTGAAGAAATAATATAGGTTAAGAATTGAAATTGAGAAAGATCAAAACAATAAATACAAAGTTTCTATCCCGACCATACGTCACCCCTACACTTCTATCATAGCCAAAAAGGCGTGTGTGCTATATGCATAGCGACGCGCACAACTCTCGAAACTATAAGGCTGTACGTATATCATAGCCAAAAAGACGAGATAAGACGTCTAGGATCAACTCGTCGAGTTTCTTACGCACTGCAAATCGATTGACTCTCGAGCATTTCATGAGTACCTCCATCTTAGCCAAAAAGGCGAGTATGCTATATGCACAGCGACGCGAACGACTCGCAAAACTCTAACGCTGTACGTATTTTAGCCAAAAGGCGTGTGTGCTATATGCATAGCGACGCGGACACCTCTCAAAACTATAAGGCTGTACGTTTCTTAGCCAAAAAGCGTGTGTGCTATATGCATAGAGACGCGCACGACTCTCAAAACTATAAGGCTGTACGTATCTTAGCCAAAAGGCGTGTGTGCTATATGCATAGCGACGCGCAGAACTCTCAAAACTATAAGGCTGTACGTATATCATAGCCAAAAAGTCGAGATAAGAATGCTAGGATCAACTCGTCGAGTTTCTTCACACTGCGAATCGATTTACTCTCGAGCTTTCCATGAGTACCTCCATCTGAGCCAAAAAGGCGATTATGCTATATGCACAGCGACGAGCACGACTCTCAAAACTATAAGGCTGTACGTATCTTAGCCAAAAGGCGAGTATGCTATATGCACAGCGACGCGGACAACTCTCAAAACTTTAAGGCTGTACGTATCTTAGCCAAAAGGCGTGTGTGCTATATGCATAGCGACGCGCAGAACTCTCGAAACTATAAGGCTGTACATATCTTAGCCAAAGGTCGAGTATGCTATATGCACAGCGACGCTCACGACTCTCAAAACTATAAGGCTGTACGTATCTTAGCCAAAAGGCGAAGATGCTATATGCACAGCGACGCGGACAACTCTCAAAACTATAAGGCTGTACGTATATCATAGCCAAAAAGTCGAGATAAGACGTCTAGAATCAACTAGTTGAGTTTCTTACGCACTGCGAATCGGTTGACTCTCGAGCTTTCCATGAGTACCTCCATCTTAGCCAAAAATGCGAGTATGCTATATGCACAGCTACGCGCACGACTCTTAAAACTATAAGGCTGTACGTATCTTAGCCAAAAGGCGAGTATGTTATATGCACAGCGACGCGCACAACTCTCAAAACTATAAGGCTGTACGTATCTTAGCCAAAAGGCGAGTATGCTACATGCACAGCGACGCGGACAACTCTCAAAACTATAAGGCTGTACGTATATCATAGCCAAAAAGTCGAGATAAGACGTCTAGAATCAACTAGTTGAGTTTCTTACGCACTGCGAATCGGTTGACTCTCGAGCTTTCCATGAGTACCTCCATCTTAGCCAAAAATGCGAGTATGCTATATGCACAGCGACGAGAACGACTCGCAAAACTATAACGCTGTACGTATCTTAGCCAAAAGGCGAGTATGCTATATACACAGCGACACGGACAACTCTCAAAACTATAGGGCTGTACGTATCTTAGCAAAAAGGCGAGTATGCTATATGCACAGCGACGCGGACAACTCTCAAAACTTTAAGGCTGTACGTATCTTAGCCAAAAGGCGTGTGTGCTATATGCATAGCGACGCGCACAACTCTCGAAACTATAAGGCTGTACGTATATCATAGCCAAAAAGTCAAGATAAGAATGCTAGGATCAACTCGTCGAGTTTCTTACGCACTGCGAATCGATTGACTCTCGAGCTTTCCATGAGTACCTCCATCTGAGCCAAAAAGGCGAGTATGCTATATCCACAGCGACGCGCACGACTCTCAAAACTATAAGGCTGTACGTATCTTAGCCAAAAGGCGAGTATGCTATATGCACAGCGACGCGGACAACTCTCAAAACTTTAAGGCTGTACGTATCTTAGCCAAAAAGTCGAGATAAGAATGCTAGGATCAACTCGTCGAGTTTCTTACGCACTGCGAATTGATTGACTCTCGAGCTTTCCATGAGTACCTCCATCTGAGCCAAAAAGGCGAGTATGCTATATGCATAGCGACGCGCACAACTCTCGAAACTATAAGGCTGTACGTATATCATAGCCAAAAAGTCGAGATAAGAATGCTAGGATCAACTCGTCGAGTTTCTTACGCACTGCGAATCGATTGACTCTCGAGCTTTCCATGAGTACCTCCATCTGAGCCAAAAAGGCGAGTATGCTATATGCACAGCGACGCGCACGACTCTCAAAACTATAAGGCTGTACGTAGGTCTCGTCTGATCCGTCTAAGGAGACAGACGTGTTTATTGGTAGCTCAACTAGTATTTACATGTTATTATATGTGATTCAAGTGAGAAATTAACCAATTGATTTCAATCAAACTATCTTAATTAAGTGCAAACCGCTGGGCTACGGGCCTTCCCGCACCAGCTAACAAAATCTTGCTTTTTAAGCCGAAAAAACAGGCCATTGACTCTGCTCGACAAAGTCAATAGTCGAATTCAGCATGAACCAGCAAAATTCAATCTGGAAGATTGGTGAAAGTAACACAACGCAAGTAAATATGTCAAGAAATACGGAAGCAAATGTATCATCGATGATCAACAACAACACAAGTAACAACAGAAGATCGTACGCTCAAGCTACTGAAATATGTTATACTGATGAAATGGCTATCGTCATGGACGCCCTTGATGGCATCAAATATACCGAATACTTGAAGTCCCTGAAAAATCACATCGGCCCAAAAAAAATGAAATACGCATCGAGAATCTCCAACAAAAGAGTATGCGTCTATATGGACAGCATAGAATCAGCCGAACTTTTAATCAACTCAGTAAAGNTGCACAGCGACGCGGACAACTCTCAAAACTTTAAGGCTGTACGTATCTAAGCCGGAAGGCGAGTATGCTATATGCACAGCGACGCGGACAACTCTCAAAACTTTAAGGCTGTACGTATCTAAGCCGAAAGGCGTGTGTGCTATATGCATAGCGACGCGGACACCTCTCAAAACTATAAGGCTGTACGTATCTTAGCCAAAAAGGCGTGTGTGCTATATGCATAGAGACGCGCACAACTCTCGAAACTATAAGGCTGTACGTATATCATAGCCAAAAAGTCGAGATAAGAATGCTAGGATTAACTCGTCGAGTTTCTTACGCACTGCGAATCGATTGACTCTCGAGCTTTCCATGAGTACTTCCATCTGAGCCAAAAAGGCGAGTATGCTATATGCACAGCGACGCGCACGACTCTCAAAACTATAAGGCTGTACGTATCTTAGCCAAAAGGCGAGTATGCTATATGCACAGCGACGCGGACAACTCTCAAAACTTTAACGCTGTACGTATCTAAGCCGAAAGGCGAGTATGCTATATGCACAGCGACGCGCACGACTCTCAAAACTATAAGGCTGTACGTATCTTAGCCAAAAGGCGAGTATGCTATATGCACAGCGACGCGGACAACTCTCAAAACTTGATGGCTGTACGTATATCATAGCCAAAAAGTCGAGATAAGACGTCTAGGATCAACTCGTCGAGTTTCTTACGCACTGCGAATCTGTTGACTCCCGAGCTTTCCATGATTACCTTCATCTTAGCCAAAAAGGCGAGTATGCTATATGCACAGCGACGCGGACAACTCTCAAAACTTTAAGGCTGTACGTATCTAAGCCGAAAGGCGAGTATGCTATATGCACAACGACGCGCACGACTCTCAAAACTATAACGCTGTACGTATCTTAGCCAAAAGGCGTATGTGCTATATACATAGCGACGCGCACAACTCTCGAAACTATAAGGCTGTACGTATATCATAGCCAAAAAGACGAGATAAGATGTCTAGGATCAACTCGTCGAGTTTCTTACGCACTGCGAATCGATTGACTCTCGAGCATTTCCTGAGTACCTCCATCTTAGCCAAAAAGGCGAGTATGCTATATGCACAGCGACGCGGACAACTCTCAAAACTTTAAGGCTGTACGTATCTTAGCCAAAAGGCGTGTGTGCTATATGCATAGCGACGCGCACAACTCTCGAAACTATAAGGCTGTACGTATATCATAGCCAAAAAGTCAAGATAAGAATGCTAGGATCAACTCGTCGAGTTTCTTACGCACTGCGAATCGATTGACTCTCGAGCATTCCATGAGTACCTCCATCTTAGCCAAAAAGGCGAGTATGCTATATGCACAGCGACACGAACGACTCGCAAAACTATAACGCTGTACGTATCTTAGCCAAAAGGCGAGTATGCTATATACACAGCGACGCGGACAACTCTCAAAACTATAAGGCTGTACGTATCATAGGCAAAAGGCGAGTATGCTATATGCACAGCGACGCGCACGACTCTCAAAACTATAGGGCTGTACGTATCTTAGCCAAAAAGCGAGTATGCTATATGCACAGCGACGCGGACAACTCTCAAAACTATAAGGCTGTACGTATCTTAGCCAAAAAGGCAAGATAAGACGTCTAGGATCAACTCGTCGAGTTTCTCACGCATCACGAATCGATGGACTCTCGAGCTCTCCATGAGTACCTCCATCTTAGCCAAAAAGGCGTGTTTGCTATATGTATAGCGACGCGCACAACTCTTAAAACTATAAAGCAGAACGTATCTTAGCCGAAAGGCACGTGTGCCATATGCATAGCGACGTGGACACCTCTCAAAACTATTAGGCTGTACGTATATCATAGCCAAAAAGGCGAGATAAGACGTCTATGATCAACTCGTCGAGTTTCTTACGCATTGCGAAACGATTGACTCTTGAGCTCTTTATGAGTCCCTCCATCTTAGCCAAAATGGCGTGTTTGCTATATGCATAGCGACTTGCACAACTCTCAAAACTATAAGGCTTCACGTACATCTTAGCCAAAAAGGCTAGAAAAGACCTCTAGGATCAACTTTTCGAGTTTTTTACGCATTGCATTTTGATTAACTCTCCAAGCTCTTCATGAGTACCTCCATCTTAGCTAAAAGGCGAGTTTTCTATATCCATAGCGACGCGCACGACTCTCGAAACTATAAAGCTGTTCGTCAATCTTAGTCCAAAGGTCGAGAAAAGACGTCTACTCGTCAAGCATGAGATGCTTGGGAATCTTGCTGACTCCATCTCTTCACTGGGATGCTCACTTAGGCAGCATCATCACAAAGTCACAGTATGCCCTCTATTCGCTTCGTTTTTATCATTACGCTCTCTCTCTCTCGCCAGCTGCGTGAATCCTTAGCCGTGGCTTTTTTTTTTTTTAATTTTTTTGTTTTCGTTTCTCATGTATTTAGGTGTGCTCATCTTGTTGTAAAAAGAAACGTAAACTAAGCGCTATTCGCGTGCACGTTAAGTTAACCGACGTCGGGTCCGTGCGTAGCGTCGTTTCGCCTCGTAACCGATTTTTTTGTTGTTTCCGGTGTGCTCGCTTGTCTCGTCAGGTTGGAGCCTGCGCATGTCCTTTTGCGGGTTAAGGGTTAACTTATCGACGAACCGCCCCGGGCTCATGGCCAATCGATGACTTGTGCGAGCTGAAAAAGGTGGACTCGAAGAACAGGATGATCGAGGGCTTAATCGGCCTTAATCGGGACTTAACTCGGGTTATTTTGGAGTTTCAGTAACGAGGGACTTGTGGAATATTTCTTTGACATTGAAGAATATTTACAAGTTCATACGCATTACTTTTTCTCTCTGACTCAGTTACCAAGTCTCGAGAGCCACCGTCGCCGAATGAAATGATACATTCTCGGGTTATTTTGGATGAAACAAACAACTCTCGGGTTATTTCTGGTGTTTAAGTATGGACTTTGGGGTTATTTTACGACATGGGTCCTTTTACGCTAATTTTCCATGCATTTTTCAAAGCAAGCATTTATGAAGAGTTTAAAATAATCCTTACTATACGGGACTATTGGGTTACTTGAATTCAGGAGAAACAAATTATATTTTTGGCAATAATAAACATATCAAAGCAAAGAAAAAAACTCTGAGTATCATTAGGCATATTGAGTATCGTGTTTCACAAACCATACATTTTTTATCATAGCCAAAAGTTCCTTAGATGTGCCATAACAGGTGTTTCTTCTAAATATACAAAAATATCATTGACTCGATTTAAAAAATTCTCAGAAACATTTTCATGTTTTTAATTTGTCAAATACAAACATGTTTTCATAAATTTATGTACATCAAAATCTCGTTGAAGATAATGTTTAAGAAACATTTCTGCACACAAATTGCCATGCAAAGTCATTCATTCTTCAGAGTTGTAAGGACTTTTTTTGTTCACGTAATTATTATGTACATGAAATATTTTCCTGAAAATTTTGTTGATAAACTCGTTTTAGAAATTCCGAGTTTCCGTTCACGAAAATTTTTCGTACACGAAATCGTTGACAGTTAAAATGAATGTTTTGAAAAATTTTTATGACTAAATTTTCGTAGACGAAAATTTTCTAGAAAATTTCGTCTATAAACATATCTCGGAAAATCCAAATTTTCGGGTACAAAAATTGTCGAATCCATGAGTTTTCATAAAATTTCCCTGAATGGCCAGACCCAAAATTTAGTGCCCTTTCAGAATTTTGGCTTGAATTGAAAATTTAATGATTCGATAGAAAGTCATGTTCGTTTAAACAAAAAATAAAGGAAAAAATTGTGCGAAAAAACGACTTAAAGAGTTTATTTCGAACTGTTGCGGTAAATAACCTAAAATACAAACATGATCGGAAGTGATCATGGGTGTAGAAGTACCTTAGGAAATTTTAACAGATTTTTCCTACCCCCTTTTTAAACAAAATGATGTCTATGAAGTAAAATGTTAATAAAAATGTTAATAAAAAATAATTTTTGTATATATGAGTAAAACTACTGATATTTTACAAAAACCACTAAACCTTTGTGAACATCTATAATTCAATTTTCGAAAAATGAAAAAATAATCATTTTCGTTCTCACGATGTAATATTTTCAGCCGCTCACGGGGCAGGGTCGTAATGTGAACTGACTATATTCACATACACTACAATCTATATTCTATTATTGAAAGTAAAAAATACGTGGATTATGCTACCAAAGATACAAGTAGCTCGAATTATGTACAGTAAAAATTAGAAAGAGAAAAATTTTCAATGAACATGATTCTTTTATATTCTATTATGTCTTAATATCTAATATTGTTTAAAATTAAAATATTTCATAAATATGCCTTATAATATTCTTACTCCTCCAACATTTCTTACAATTTCTTTAAAATAATCTAAAATGAGTTGAATGACGCTAGTATTAATTATTGGTTGATTTTTATTCATTTCAAATATTTTACAATAATAAATATATATCTTGCTGCACTTTGCTGACGTTAAACAAGTGTATTTAACGAAATTTATCTCAACATCTAAATTCTTAATACTGATACTGCATTATCATAATTTTTTTATATATTACAAGCAATACTCATAGCTCACCATTTTGAAGCTTTATAAAATGTAATTCTTTTTTTCATTCATGTATCGTTGATGTTATTTTACATTATTTTTACTTTTTGGTATAAATATTGTTAATACCAATGAAACTATGAAAAGAAAATAGTATTATTTAAAAACTGTTTACTTATAAATTTAAATAGCGTAAATTACCCATATTTGACCTTACCAATGAGAATGACTGCAAGTGATATAACTGTGACGATGCATCCGTAATCAAGAAAAATTGGAAATAATATATTTCCCGACAATGCTCCGATACGTCCAACCATCATAGCTAAGCTTACTGCCATAGTTCTGAAAATGAAGTTTTTAATTTTTTGTTAAATGCTTCATGCGTACAACTTTTTCTTCTTTTGCATTTTCTGGCGTTGTTCATAGTTTTCAAAACAACGTTTACCTGTCGTAATATTCAGAGCAATCCATTCGAGCTTCACTCTGAAAATTCTAACTTCTGAACGCGTTTTTGAAAAACCAGAAAAGGCAAAGGAAGAAAACTCCTCTCAAAAAAATTTTTTTCGCTTATGCCTCCTGTAAACCCTTAAAACTAGATATCAAAGAAAGTGAATATTTTAATATACTTTCATAAAATCTCTTAAATTGTGAAAACATCAAAATGAATCTATATTATTTAAGTCATTCTTCAAAATATTTACCTTAGAGATGTAGGAAACAGATTTACAGTAACACTTATGACTAATGTGGTCGTAGTGCTCATTAATCCAACGAAGAAAGAAGTGAGCAGAATGATTACAGTATAGTGGCTCGCCCAATTTAATAAAAGTATAGAACTCGTTGAGACAACAAAACATAATACTATAAAAGTAATATTCGTCATTTTCGCCATTATTTATCGAAATTGTTTTTTTGTTTTATGAAGAGCGTTGAAAGGTATTTGTTAGAGTATTGAATCAATTTCACGGTACTTTAAAAGTTAATACGCGAAAATAAAATATTATTTTTAAAATAAACAAAAATACGTACTCAAAAGATTTTTGTTATTTACTATATTAACTAAAGCAGTTGCTAATAATAAACAGATAGTTATCGCTGTTGATACCAGTAAGGTGAAAATGTACACGGTGCTATCTACATGTTTCTAAAAAAAAGACCAGTTCAAGATATTTACTAGAAAATAACATAATAAATAAAAAATTTGTTTTTAACTCACCACTATGCATTCAGGTTCGGTTTCATGAATATTCTCTACTTTTATTACTTTTGTATTTGTTGTATCCAAAATTTCACAAAATGTTAAATTTAAAGCTCCTCCACTAGCGTTACCTTGATAGTGATTCAAGGTTGCAAATAATTGAGGTTGCCAGAGTCTCAAAGTGTTTGCACTGGATGAAATGAATACGCATTCGTAAAATTAACGCTCTTATAATTTTTAGATATTCTATTAGTTATGATTTTTTCATACTACCCTAGCCGAAACTAACCTTTTTCGTCCCGGCGATCAAAACGAAAAAGTTAATTTCTGCTGGGGGATAAAAATATTTAATTAAATATCAGAAGACTAAATTAATAAATTTCATTGTTGTCTTGGCGTTGGAAATCCATCAATGAAAAAAAATGCTGTCATTTCATTGGCAAATAGCTTGCATCTTAAAAATAATTTAAAAAAAAATCGTCTCGTCTTGGCGCAAGTTACAGAATTAATTTCTTTTATGTTATTATTATTTGTTATTATTTGCATAAATTATTATCTGTTTTACCAAAGCATGCCTCCAAACTGTATTGTCACCATTAATAAAAGTCGCATCAAGTTGGAACCCATGAAGAGCGGCTTCATTTGAAGCAATCCTTGACATATGACGCTTTTGAAACTCTTTGGATACGCCCTTGTTTCTGTCACTGATACAGGAATCTCATCTGTCAGTTCATTCTCGAGCACTTTTATCTGACGAACAATTGGAAATAACCTTGTTTATTTCTAAGAAATTGATTGCCTTTAAAAAAATTGTTAACCCTCAAAATAGTTTTCTAAGATATTGGTTTTTTGTGAAAGACAGTAATATAATGAGAAATCATCATCTAAAAGTAACTATACAGCCTATGGAATGTATGTTACAACGAGAATTTTATACTTGCAAATGATTTATGGGGTGAGCAAAAGTTAAACTCACTGAATATGTTTCTGCCGATTTTTTCTTGTTTATAACATATATTGATCTAAATATACTCAAAGCTTCTTCATTTCGTCCTTGACTCATTAAAAATTTTGGACTTTCAGGAAAAAAAGATAAACCTAGTGCACCGATAAGTATTGGAAGACCACATGAGCTTAGATATATTCTCCATGAGTTATAAATGAAAGAATCATCTCCAAATTGAAAGTACCAGTTTCGAGGAATAATGAGCCAAGCCATAGCTGAAACAAAAAAAAATTTTTTAATTTTAATTTTTTTATTCATTCATATTCTTTAGAAGTCATTTATTACCCGCATTAACAATACATCCAGCAAAACACGTGAAACCAATTGCTAAAGTAATTCTCGGACGATCTTTAGTACAATAAAATTCAGCACAATATGTCATAATTGTAGCATAAGGTCCACTTACACTGAAATGATAATTGTACTTGAGTCATTTGTGGATGACTGATGGGTGTTACATTTACTATGATATTATGATCATTGAAACGCACATAAACCCGCTGATGAATTTGAATATTACGATAGTTGCAAAGTTCTGAGAAAATCCACAAAGTAAATTGCAAATTCCATCGGCTAAAAATCCATATAATAATATAGGTCTTCTACCGAATACATCAGCCATAAATCCCCACAACAATGCACTACTAACCATGCCTATAAAGAGGTATAAACTTTTTTTGTTTAGATTATTCTACTGTTGTAGAGAATATTTTCCATTCTTACCTGCATATGAAATCCCATTAAGTATACCTTTGTGATAAAGTGTCAAATCTAAATCGCATTCAGCAGATGGCAATATCATTGACATATTTGAACTATCTAGCACGGATGCCCAAGAAGCAGGTATAATTACTAAGAGTAGTAAATAATGAAATTTACCATAGCCGCAAGCCGATATAGCTTCTTCAAAATTTGATCCTCTGCCATCTTAGTGTATAAAAAAGTGATATATATTTATCAAGTATAATAGAAAAAAATACGATTGATAAATAGTGATTCATAATTATATGACTATTTCTGGGAATCCTTCAACAAAATTATAAGTCATTTCGATTAGTTAAAATAATAAAATAAAATACTTAAGTGATGGAATATTAATTTGTCGTCAATTTACGCGAAAACTTATTTATGATAAATTTTGTCATAAACTAGAATACACATTGTTTGTAATTTTTGAGCAAGGAAACAAAATTCATGTCAGTATAGCAATAATTATTGGAATAATGAATGATGATTAAAATATGAAAACGTGTTTATATGAATTTAAAGTTCTACAACAATTTTACCTCTATTTTTATTAGAAAACTCTCTTGATTTTTGTGTATCCTTCGTTTCCAGCTCCATTTAAGCGAGAAACCGATTCGCAAGATCTCAAGTCTAACTGGCAAAATCACTGTGTAGAGCGCCAATCCATTCAACTCTTCTTAAGTTTTTGCTCTCTCTCTCTCTCTCTCTCTCTCTCTCTCTTACTTGTCTATCCCTACTTTTTCAAGATCGCGACGCATTTAAATCAACAGTTTTATCATGCTGACGAACTTATGGAACGTTAGATATAAAATGATTTTTTTTCGTCTGGTAATTCTTTTTTAATCTTGAATAAACTGGATTTTCACATTTTTGACCATCTACGAGCATGAGTGATGATACGCACATACTTGAAATTCGTTGTATAATTAATTTTCAGTTTTTTTCTTAAATGAATGTAAGTATAGTTAAAATGTCTTAGAATGTCGAAAGATTGTAATGAGTCATCAATGTTTTTGTAAAGGCTATCATTACTCTGCTCATCTCGAGAAGATTGTTGTAAAATAGTAGCTTATTTGCTAAATCAACTTTCATGACATTAACAAAATAATATAATCAAACCATGAAAATTCAAAAAATTCAAAATGAAATAGACGGTGTTTGTTTTTAGTTTATCATTTTTTATTACAATTTCATATTTTATCTTTCATTTTTTCACATTGACGCATTTCGATAATGTGAATTGGCGCATCTTCTCCTTCATTCAATGATCGTACGATAAATTCTAGTTTAAAATTTGAACATTCGCTGTAGCGTTAATAAACACACTCTCTTAAATCACCATTCTCTTAAATCACTATTCTCTTAAATCATTATACTTTTCAACAAGAGTTAAGATAAGGCTCGACAAAACACGTTTCTTGCATTGCATTGTATAGCTTTGATGATATACGATAAGCTTCGAAAAAATTCATTTCTGGTTGATCATTAATTAAATTCTTAAATTCACGAAAAAAATTTGATCATCATTTTTTTAAAAATTTAAAAATTCATTTCTTCAAAGTGAATAGATGTACTCATAGTTTTCATTTTTATAACTTGGAACTGTAATGCATTTTGTGATAGAGTGATTTTAAACATTCATTTTCACGAATGTATAGTTTATAACAAATATTCACCAAAGACAGTCTTTGATATCAAATAGAAGGATTTAGAAAAAAAAATTCGCAAAGCTTTGTCTTATAAAATAGTGAGGAAAAAAACCTTGACGATCATCAGCGCGTTTTTTCCATAACATTTTAGTTAAAAGTGATTTATGGTTTATTCTCATATTTGAACACAGCTGTACAACAATTTGAAATTTATCTTGAATAAAGCTAAGTGATGCTAGTAAAATAAACTATCTGTGTATAAAGGAGTACATTGAACCAATAGGTTTTGTGTGGATATCATGTGCATGAATGTAATTGAGACTCGGTATTGAGAATTGAGTCAAGTGTCATGATCATTGTAAGAATTTTTAAACTTTTATCATTTACCTCGCAAAAACAAAAAAATAGTTTGAAAAAGACCGTGGTAAAATATGTAGTCAATTTAAATATAATAAAATTTTTTTAATCGTACTGACACATTTTTATTTATAAGAAATTTGAAAAATAATATTTACTTGTTTTGAGCTGATAATTGTTTTAGATATCATAAAATTAGTAACTTTCTCATTCGATAGAAAACCATGTTTTTAATTATCTTCAATTCTTTTCTCTTAAATTAGATACTCTTTTCTCTTAAATTAGATAGATATCTAATTTAAGAGAAAAGCAGTGCTTATTCACTAGGTGTTCTAACTAGGATACTTACATTGCATAAAATCAATACTAAAAAAAATGCGTCATCGATTAAATAAATATCAACTCATGTTTGTCACGAGTTTCTTTAAAAATATTATTAATTTTTAAAGGGCTTGTTTAAATTTCATAATTGTTACTTTTTTCCAAAAATCTAAAAATTACTTAATCCTTAAAGACAATTTTTAATGAATAATGTTATTTTTTCTACACTTGACTACGCCGCTCAATGTATTAAAATCTAGCCTGTTGCTATAAATGTTGCAAAATGGTTTATTGTGGAAAAAACAATATCATTTTTTTAATTAATTTATTTTTTGACTCCAATCACCACCATCAGATCAAACCAAAATATTGCCTACACAATTAATAACAGTTTTTCGATTTTTTCCTACTAGTACTATGTAGTTTTATGTAATCAATATTTTTTGAGATTTTTGAACATATTGGGCAAAGTAGCATTTCAATTAAAGCATAATTTGTTTCAAAAAGAGACTCTGACCATAGTCTAACATTAATCTACCATACTTTTTCCGTGAAAATTTTTAAAAATGTATCGTAAATGAAACTGCACCTCTTAAGAGATAGGTTTTATTGAATCATTTTTATTTATAAAAGTAACTTTATAACTTCATTGAAAAATAAAAGATATTTTGTAAGTTTCAATGAATAAGTTTCATTAAATGATTTAAAAAATATAGCTCTTTAATTTTTATTAATGAATAATGTACGAATACTCTGCTTTATCGAACTTTCTGTTGCATTGATATTCGTTTGAAAATTAAACACTGAGAATACCTATGTTATAAATTTCAATTGAACTTCTATGTCATATTTTTAAAATAAAAAATATCAGTTAGAATTTCTGTCCTATTTACGGTATTCATATTTTCTAATATTTTAATTATATAGTTGTTGATACAATTTCTTGAAAAGTCGATATCCACATTCCTATGAAATTGATTTTATGAAAGAATTGATTCAAAATCTTAAAGGATTGTATGATTACATCCTCTTCCTTCAAATAAAGAAACAAACTTGAAACTACAGTTACCAACAGTCCATTAAATTACTTTCCGACGGACTGTCGGTATTACAGGTATTAGGAATGGTGTTGATATTCTATATCGTTTGTTGGTTCATTTATGTATCATATGTTATGTCAAAAAATAAAATTACCAATTGTGAACCAAAGCTGATAAATAATATTACGTATTTAATTCGTTATGTACAATTATTAAATTCGCTTCTGAGACGAAATCAATAAAAATTATTTTATTGAAATGTGTCTGATCTGTTTTTCAAACATAATTCTAAAATGCATTCTAGTATAATGTTGAATCTTTGAATAAAAATATAAGGTTGTAGATTTTCCTTTGTTTGTAATAGATAATTTTCTGCTGCTCAGTTTGAAGAGATTATAATATCTATGAAATGATGAACAATTTTTACGCATTTAACTACTTCTTGAGAGTCAGTAAATCATATGTGAAATGAATCGATAAAAGTTTTATGACTGTAAGTTTGGTATTCAAAAAGACTGGATTAATAATTTTTTAAAAAACTTTTATTTTTTGTTCAAATACAGTTTTTATTGTTGTAAATAATAAATTACGATTTTTAACATAAACGAAGTTTACAGAATATACCGAAGATTTACGTAAAGTGTAAATTTTAAATAAAACTTGCAACACGAAAATACTTACAACAAATTTCATTGATTTTCAAGATTACGATCTACAAATATATATTTCGATGTGAGTCTAATAAAAACGAAATATACATGTGAATAAAAATATAATATCGTCATAGTTAACCCCGTGAGGTTTTAGCTTTTTAACAATAATGGTGTCCAAGTAAGTACGAATTATACCTTGTCAGGTGTCGAGATCAGCTACTCATACAATACACAGTTTCAAAGTAATTGATATCGCCTTGTAATAATTAAACTTCATATTTAAGTATTTTAAACATAAGAATTCTCATGAATATCAAAAATTCCACCAAAATGTTTTCAACATTTCTGGATACTCTTCGACTTTTTAGACACGAGATTCAAAATTACAAAATCTATGTTTAGATTTTGATATGTTGAACTAATAATCTAAATATGTTATTTTACTATATTAAACTATGTACAAATAATATTAATGCTCTATAGTACTCTATAACGTGTCATGCGTTAAAAGATTGCACGATTTTGACTTTCATTACATATAAATGAATGCTATGAAAATTATAATAAACATTAAATAATTATCATTATCGAACTCCCATAAAATTAAAGTAGTTTGAAAGGATAGAGTGTAACCAACAAAATTGATAAAATGAAAGCTATTATCGAAGGTTTGGTACTCAATCATAACTTACATGAAACTTATTTTTTAAATGAAATTAAGTTCAAAAGCATATTATGCATAAAAAAGGAGGTAGTATGCAATCGCTTTATTTCTATGAGTTGATTGCAAAAAATATTTTGCATTCATTTAAAAAATTTACAATTTAATTCCAACTTTTCATGTGCGTGTATATCAAACAGAAATAATTTACATGGCTTACTGATAAAAATGAAATTCTACTAAACGTGTTTTATAAATGAATAACTGTAATAAGTTCATGAGCGCACTGGGATATAATGTACATCAAAAGCGTAAATGCAGTTAAATCTGGAGTATAGTATCGACAATGAAACCGGATAAATAGATTCTAAAAATTGTAACGATTAATTTAGAAGTACGGAGCAAGAGAGTCTGGACGAATTCTATTGGGGCGGGTCGATGCGTAACGACGTTCATGATGAGGCTAGAAGCTTGGCCGATGCAGTGACGTGGTGCTGATGATGATAAGGAGCTTCCTGGCTTGCATAATACGCTGCTGCCTGCTGATGCTCGCTCGATGGCACGCCGAGCTGGTGGGGATGTTGATAGTAAGAAGAATAAGGCTGGCTTATCACGCCACCATCGCAACTTCGAGGCTCCGTTTTGACTGTTGGTATACTGCCCGTCGCCGCGTTGGACGGTAGCAAGGGCGTATGACCCAAGTATACTGGACGTTCCGTCGGTGAGCTTGTCGACGTTGATTTTACTTCCAATTGATGTTGGTGAGGCTGTTGCTGATGCGATGCAAGATGCCCACTTTTAATATCTACGTGTAATAGATGATAGATATATTTGAACTATTTTACACTTCAATCTATTTATTGAAATTTATATATTTTTTGATATGGGCATGAAATTTTACCTGAAGGTGACGAAGCTGTGGAAGTGAGACTGTCGTTGTGGTCTGAGCTGGACTGTCGTGAGTTTGGCTCGGGTGTCTTCTTGGGTTTTCTTTTGCGGGTTTGTATTCCATCTTTTCGCATGGCCAACGGTCGATTGACACCATGAAGCTTAAAGTAAAGGCCGCAGGCGTTGCACACGGGTTCGCCTTCGTTGTTGCGCCTCCAAAGAGTAGTCGTACGGGTACCGCAATTCGTGCAGCATAGGCCCAATCTTCTCGTCGCCGTCTGGAATTCGGAGATCTGTCCCATTTTCTTATATGTATATACCGAGATTATTGTTATTCATAATTTATAATCATAACTATCAATAAACTTAATTCCAAAAATATTAGATAATCCTCGAAAAAAAGTATATTTTACTATCGGTTACCAATAATTTTTTCTAAATATAAATTCTTATTAAAACGATGAAATTTGATTTTTGTGAAAATAATTTTACCCATACAGAATTCTTTATTACTAATTCCTAATTTCCCTATAAACTTTTTTTACTTTAAAGAGGAAAAGTAAAAATAATCATGACTTTGGACGTTGAATCGAGACTACTTTAGAAGATAAAGGCTCTGTACTAAGGATTTGCGTGTGTGTGTAATTTGATCAATTAATTAAATGATAAACTAAATCTTACTATCTAAAATATTTACAATCAGGTGTATCGCGCTTTAGTTTTGATAAACAAAAAAGAAATTTTCGAGAAAAAGTAATCGGTGGAGTGTGAACAAAATGTCATTTTACGCATTCCTTCTTTTTAATATTAAATTATTTTCAAGTTCTATAAAAATTTAATTGAAGTGCATCTAAGTTATATTAGACGAAAACAAAATGAATGTGAACTTACCAAGCGTTTGGTTGGTTTTATGAGAGGTCGATTCATTCCATTTATTTTGTGATAGAGGCCACAAGCATTACAAAGATAATGCCCAGTCCCGTCGCGACGCCACAGTGGCGTGGAAATGGCACCACAATTTACACATTCTCGACCTTCACTAAACTGAAAGTCCATAGTCGTTTCTGCAAAATATATATTTTATTGTTATCATTTTTATTATTACAATTGCTAGTTTCATTTTCTTCATTGTTGTTTCAAATGAGTTTAATAGTAGATGGAAACCATTGATAAAAAAATTTTATACTATATAATCATCATGAAATAAAATGTTAGTAAAATTGAAAGTGTCGGTTAAAATTGGCTATAAAATTGGGGTACTAGCTCGAAGTGTTATATCAACCATAATTTGGGATTTGAATTAATGGATACTAATGAAAAATGTCGACTAATTTGACATCTTTGTAAGGTATTGCTCGAGTCTAGATTACTTCCGTAGCGTAAGAAACACATCCAAATAAAATATAGCTACTAAAAAAGGACAGGACACCGATGATCTATTGAAGTTTTGGTCGAGTGCTTTCAAGATCGAGGCGCCTTTGTGCCGCGCAAAGATAGCAGCATGGTAAAAATAAGAAGAGAAGGAAGAAAGAGCTGCGAGACGCCCGTCTGTGCTTTATCTCCACTCTGAGAGCGGTCAGACTCGGGCTTTCTTGCGAGGCATTATGTACGTATATATTATATACTCATACCCATACCCATTCTCAGAGCCTGTTTCTAATCTCAATACAAGCCTTGCACCCCGAGGATTTTAAACGTAAGAGATGAGCAGCAGCTCCATCTCCTCTGTCGCGCACGCTGCCGCCACTATTTATTCAGCTAATTTATTTATTTTTATCACCCGTATTACCGAATACCGAAGCAAAGAAGTCATTTAAATGTTGGAATACACGTGTAGAAAGTAATGTTTTTAAGTGTAACAGTATGGAACATATAGATATGAATGCAAGATAATAGGGAGGAGATATCTAAACCTACGTGGAAATTAAAATACATTTTCTCCTAATTTTTATTTTTACTTTAGCGATTTCAATAAAACGTACATGAAGCTATAAGTATTATATTGAAAAGATAAAACATTTTGAAAAATTTAACGATGTCAACTTCCAGCTTTGTTGTTTTTTCACATTAAGTAGGTTATATGCAATCAAGATTAAGACATTATTGAATACTTCATTTATAGTAATCATATTTTAAATAAATTTTCAAGTAACCAGTAATTTATATAATAAATATTATTGATTAATGCATTAATCATTTCATAAATCTGTTAATTTTGTTAATCAGTGTAAAGAGAATAATAAAAATATGTATGTTCGTTGCAATGTTACAAACGAATTTATAACTTTTATTTTTAAATAGTGAAATTATATCTTTTTCACATTACATTATTTTTTCCGAATTCTTTCTTTTTACAAACTATTGATTAAAAAGTGGAGAGATTTTTACACGAATAATAAGGCAGAAATAGATGATTAGAAAGAGTATAAGAAAATATCGAGCGATCGAAGGCAGACGATGAATTTGACATAAGCCTATGACAGATTGTTGCATTCAAAGAAAAAAATAAATACTTGACTAAAGCTTCAGCAACATTTAAGTAAAACTCTTTACATGAAAGAGAAGCCGATATCACTTATCCCTCGCACATGGCCCAAGTAACTATCAGCCGTCACGATCCGTAGCCGACGGATGAATAAAAATGTAATGAATGTTCAGCCTGGGAATTTGTATTCTAAAATTTTTTTATTTTTCACATAAAACTGTTATTTCTCCAACTACATACTCATTTTTTATTTGTATTAATTTTTTCCATCTTTAACTTTATATGATTATGAATTAAGAAAAACGTGAACAATTCTTAATTCAATGAAATTATTTTTCATTTCAAGAACTGAAGTACTTTAAATCACGAATTTTTTTCAATTAAAAATTTGAAAAATTGTCTCTATCAAAGCGCTTGATAATTTGGTAATCTTATTTATATACGGTAAAAATATAAATTAAATTATTAATATTTACCATATGGAGAGGCCCTTTGAAAGCCGGCACTATCGTATGCCCGCCACGACGACATCATTGCAACATTTTGAGCATAAAATGGCGATGCTGCAGCTGCTGCTAAACTTGTATGAGGATGAGCTGTATGTGGATGACCCGCGTGAGGGTGTGCATGACTCGAATGTGGACCCATCGCACCAGTTGTGCTTCCCGTGTGACTAGCTAATGCTGCATGATGAGCATACGTATCGACTCCATGTTGCCATGAGGCCGTTTTTTCCCTGTAAATTTTTTATTCCAACATTGTTATCATGCTATTTGTAATTTGAAGCCGTCAATGAAGATGGTGATTTGACTGTTTGAAGCTAATCAATTGTTGATTGTAAAAAATCAATTTTTGGTAGCCTACAAATCTATTCAATTTTGAAGCGGAAATTCTTTCAGTGATAATAAGCTAGAGCTTGCCCCTCGTGAAGTCAAACTAAACTGTACACATGATTATAACTACCTATTACTCATTCAATAATATGTAAAATAAATAATTGATTAGACATTAAAGAAAAAACCTCTTATCATTAAATTATAAGTAATAAAAATAATTATATAACAATTTTTCGAAGTAGTATAAAATTTTCGAAACTTCTAAAAATAATATTAAAATTTTGTTAAAATAACATTTAGCAGGAAGGTATCTATTTCCAAGCTGTAGCAAGAAGGATACTTACTCGCGCGCAGCGGCAAAAAGGAATCTAATTCGAGCGAGAAGCAAAAAAGTAGCTTATTCAAACGAAGTGGCAAGAAAGTTTTGACTCGCTGAATTTAGGTTGGCAACGGAGCCGTAAATGATAAAATTTTGTTTTGTATTAGAGCAAAAAAGAGGAAAAACATTTGAGCTAGTGTAATGAGTTTCATCTATTTGAAATGCGAGCAAACAAATCAATCTCGCCGCGATTTCGACTCAATATGCCTCTTATGGAGAACTTTCTATGTTCTGAGAGGAGTAGAAGTTATCGGCTTTACATATAGCTTTGAATTAAACGTTGAATGTTGAATGTTGAAACAAAATTTTATCATTTACGGCTCCGTTGCCAACCTAAATTCGGCGCGTCAAAACTTTCTTGCCACTTCGTTTGAATAAGCTACTTTTTTGCTTCTCGCTCGAATTAGATACCTTTTTGCCGCTGCGCTCGAGTTAGATACCTTTTTGCCTCTGCGCGCGAGTAAGTCTCCTTCTTGCTGCAGCTTGAAAATAGATACCTTCCTGCGCTGGGGCGACGATTTAATCATCCAAATAATTTTTCGAAAGATGAAATAGAAAATTAGGTTTATAATACTAGCGTGATAATATACTGTAAACATTTACAAATTTTTTCATTTCGTACAAGAAAATTTTAATAAGTCTGGAGTATCAAAAAACTTCTGAAGATTTGTTATAATTATATTATTTTTAGTGTAACCGTGGTAGAAATGATTAACATTAATACTTTATTAATGATTAACATTAATAAAGGGAGCGAAATATACTATTAAACAAAATGACCAAGGATTGGTTTGTTTTCGACGATTTTTTGTTACAATTATGCTGCAAATATTAAGATTATGTTAAATGACCCGAAATAACAATTTAACTATTTGAAAAAATTTTGAATAATTTTCAACCACCTTAAATGTAACAATGCCACTTTAAGACTCCACCAATAGATGGCGAAGACTTTTATCTGTAATCCGCAAGTGACAAAGTGAAATAATTGAATAAAATCAAAGCACGAAATTGTAAGTAGGCAAGATACTAATCAATATTTTTAATGCAATATAACTTTGAACATTGATTTGATTCTTGCGATGACAATTATGGCGCTGCAATAGACAATCAACAAATAATTTCGATGGTTTCTAGTATAAAAAGTAATTAAAATTAATCATAAAAAATTCATACACTTTTGGCAATAAGTAAAGATTTCAAAGTATGATAATAAAAACTACCAAAATTTTCGTGGTTTTATTAATAATTTTAAATGTACTCGATGTCAGAAACAATTTATCACAAATTTTGTGCTGTTTTTTTCTTTTCTTGCTTTTGCTAACGTTTCATTATTTTTGAAAATATCACAATCTATTTAAGCTTCTTTTAGAATTTTAATGGGTCGAAAACTCGGATAAAGTTACTCACAAGTCGTTCTCGATGATTAGTTAAACAATGGAAATTAAGAAAAAAACGTAAAATGGAAAAAATGTATGCTCAAGTGTTTGAGCAAAGCTTAAGTATGTTCCCTGAATACCGCTTACTTGAATAGTTTGGTCCAAACATTATGAAAATTGAAGGGATACCTAAAAGTATAACCGTGCTTTGACATATACGATTAATTTTACTTTGTCACCTGCAGATTTGTAAATAAAGGTACTTGCCATCTAGTGATGGAATTTCAAAGTGAAAGTCAAAATATTTTAAGCTTACTAACCAAGCTGGAGAAGCTGAGCTAGTAAAAGAATGATACTGCCCAGCCGTTGTTGATGAGGCTATCGCCGGTCTAGATGAAGGAACATAAACGGGAGATTGAAGCTGTTGAATATGTTGCTGCTGTTGTTGTTGTTGCTGCTGTTGTTGCTGCTGCTGTTGCTGCTGTTGCTGTTGTTGTCGTTGTTGCTGGCCTGACTGCGATTGTTGCTGTTGATATTCTGAACTAGCGCCGTAGCCGCCGCCTCCGCTCCCGTGGAACATTATCCCTCAACAGAGTCTACCGCCGTAACAAATGCTGCAAATGAATTAAATACCCGTTTAGAATAAAATATCTTTGAAGTTTCTCAACGAATTTGTTCATGAATCTTATTTACAAAACAAAATTTGAAAAAAAATTATCATAAATAGTTATTATAAATTATGTTGTGATTCCAACATAGGAAGGATGAGTATAGAATTGGCTCAATTTTTTAACTAAAATATCATTTATCTATTTAATTACAGTATCAGGGACAATGGAAAAAAATTCAAACAAAAAATAACTCGAGCTTTCCTCTAATTTATGAAGATTCGAAAAAAAAGTAAATGTCAAGAGTGGAGAACGAAAATTACTTCACGTCAAAAAATAAATTTACGACGGTTTGAAGTGCAAGCTGAGGCAAATGTTTTCCTTTTCTCTCTCATTCTTTCTCTTTCTTGGCGTGCGCTCTCTTTTTTTGCCAGTCCTCGGCTAATCTTCTCGAGTTTATTTGCCTCACGGGGTATTTCAATAAATAAGCTAAAACTCGTAAGACAAAAGATCCTACTCGGTGTCTCGGGATTGGTCGTCTGGAGATAGAGACATGCATGATCGTTAGTTTAGGTATTCGTATACGCGTGTACTGGTGAAAGTGTGAAAAAACGTGTTACGCCCACGAAGGGAGGGACTCGGCCCTACGACAAACGCAGTCCAAACAATATTATAAAGCAGCGCGTTCGAAAGCAGTGCAGCCACGCCGCTCCTTTTTCATGCGCTGCTGCTGTCGCCGCCGCCGCCGCTGCACCACCTTCGTCTTCGCGCAGGTAAGAAAGTAAAATAAGCGACTGTCGGCGCTCCATAAGCCTGGAAGGAGAAATGTAGCTGCGAGGAAGGGAGCAGACGCGTGGCCCGACGCTGCAGCGCACAGACGTGCAGGATGGAGACGCACTCCTACCCAGCGTACTTTCCGCGTGCGTACTATATCGTCGGCCATTATCGAGGTTGCGTGGGCGGGACTGTTGCTAACGCATAAGGTAACGAGTTTGTGTAGGTGCACGCCTGCAGAGGACGCCTCTGATATTCGCCAGCGCCGACTCAGCTGTATATATTGCATCAACGAGCAAACGAGTTTCTATATACTGAATCCAGTAGAAAAATATGTGCATTCGACCAATGGCCATGAGGAAGCGGTTCACTCGTTAAATTGCTTTTATAGTCCCAGTACAGTTTCTTTTTTTTCTCTTTCCTTCTTTCTTTCTTTCTTTCTCTCTTTTTTTTGGTATCTTTAGTATGCCTGTAGCGTGCGTATGTGTATATATGCGAGCACGAGAAAACACTAATTTGTGCCAGCAGACTTTGTAACAGGGTACGTTTCTCGGAACGCAGAGTGACTTTTATCAGGACCTGTGTCGTGAGCAATCCCCTTTGTCGACTTTTGCATTGAAATTTGTTGAACGCAAGGGTGGAGACTTCGCGTTCTGCATTCTTCGGACTATCGGACGTTTTTTCCTTCCCAATGCTGGACATCGTGTAGAAGACGTAAAACATCGTTTATTTGAGCTTCGCATGGCAATGATACGATTCTGCAGAAGACAAGAACACAAATTCTCTTGAGTAACATTTGTTTTCAAGATATGATTTTCGCACAAGTTTCGGCATCTTTTCCAAAAAGACTCTTAATAATTCATGTACTCGTAATATTAACGGAAGTATTGTCTCCCATGATTTTTTTCATGTTCGGATGCTATCTAAAATTTTTGACAAAAATTAAAAAGATTTAATTACTGTAAATTTATGAATAAAATACTTCAAGTGATATCGAACATAATCTGGAGCTATTAATGAATAAATTGTATTACATAGGTAAATTGCATAAAGTTTCATGCTTTCACGGCGCTTATTTTACACTAGTATCCTATCAAGAAGTAACATATTCATTTGCCAAATAGTAATCAAATTTTATTTGTAAATTGAACATTTAAAAAGTAAACCTTTATGAAGTATATCCTATTTGTTATTAAAATTCTTGTATCCAGAAACATTTAAACTAACTAAAAATAATTTTCCGGTATATTGCATAAAAATAATAGATAATATGATAGTTTTGATATGTATCTTAAGTACGTTGTTAGATACTACATTTGTTTGAGCGAATTACTATTACCTTTATCTTTTGATAAAAATAAAATCTAGTAAAACCATTCGTACATATTAAATTAGATTGAATGCAATATTTATTAAACGATTGAATGAACAATTTAAAACTTTTAAGTAAATAAAATAATTGCTCTCTCTATTTGCTGTGTAGATGCTACTTCAACCATCATGAACCAATAACACATGAGCCCAGCTAACAAGAAATAATTAAGAATTATTTTTGTAAATCTATGCTATTTTTTTATTGATTTTAGTGTGGCAGTAAGGTCTACTATTTTCAGTCAAAATTATTAATGTTTACCGACGATTCAATTAAAAATAATTCAATTAAAAATAATGCATTTTGTTAAACGAAATTGTATTTTAAACGAAAAAGTAATATTTTTGGAGGGTTACTGTACGCTTGAAAATGCCTACATTTGACAAAAGTTGAAAGTAATATGATGTTTATTACATGTAAATTATTAGCTGAGATAAGACTGAGTATGATGAAAATTTTAATCTTCTTTATTATTATCTATCAATGTGAAAAAAATTTAATAGTATATTTCAATTATTTTATTCAATTATAAAAACTAGCGATCTTAAATATTTGTACATACCTTGTTCTCTTTTTTAAGTAATAGAAGCTTTATTTTTAGATAATCATGCAATTATTGTAAAAACTACTGCTAAATCATTGGTAAAGAGCTTCCTCCTAAAAATATGATTCATATATTTTTAAACATTTATAGATATTAATGAAAAGTATCAAATCCTTGTTTCAACAACTGTATCTGTAATCTGACCTTTAAATGATACATACTTTTTATAATTTTTCTCAAAATTATTTTTCATCATAAATTATTAATATTTGACCGTCACACATCTTTAGCAAAAAGACCGAGAAGCAAAAATAATACTTCCACATACACATAGATATAAACATTAGTATCTTATTCGATCTAGATTAAAAATTATATTAAGTTGGGGTATACGAGACACAAAAATTAACAAAAATCGATTTTAGACTGGTCATAAAACTGGTGGAACCAAAAATACGATACATGATCGGCCCAGATAAAGACATCTGATGCAAAGAAAAAATTGGCTATTTAGGAAATTTGCAAAAGATTTAAAATTTTAAAATTAATCCAAGTAAATTTATTAATTCAAATTAAATAACTAATTTAATTAAAATCTAAGTGAACCGTCGGTTTATTTTGTAGAATTGAAAGTTTAAGTTAATATTACATTTAGATTGGTTACGTTGCTAAAATTTACATACTTTTTTACGTCGAATAACTTTTTAATAAAAATATTCATTGTGTACATTAAAGTTTTAGAATAGTATGTTATAAAAGAATGAAAGTAATTTATAAATTTTCAAAACATTATTAAATCATTTTTTTAAACAATACATATTTTTAATGAGTATGCAGATTAAATCAATTTTATCGATATAAATTGTAGATATGAAGTGCGAAAGCGAAATTTCAACGTATGAAATTGGTTTCTGTGGTTGACCTTAAAAGAACATGACAAAATGTAATTGAACACTATAATTTTGCACTATACGCAAAATGACTTCAAATGCGCGCCCTATCATGGTGGTCCAAAGGATTTCCTGTATCAGACTATGCCATTATGTTAACAATGCAAACAATTATGTTCATTTATGTATAGCATTTTAAAAAGGGAAAGTCCCTTATTAGAATTTTCATTTGAGATTGTCCCTCAAATATGTTCATAGCTCTAGCAAAAGTTGAAAATAGCATTACCATTTTATTCATAAAAAAAACATATCATTCTACTTTTTCCTACTTTATCTAGATTAATTTACATGGTAGAAATGCTTAAAATTTTATAGCTAAATATTTATTTTCTGGGATATAGGGGCATTAGAACTGAACATAAATTGACCAAAATCGTAAAATTTTTTCAAACAATTCATAGCCATATGATGCTACACGTTTTTTTTATATAATAAGCACCAACTTTGATATACTTTCTTCAAAATTGTCGTTTGAATTTATAAAATATTTTTACCTTACCATTTGGTGATTTACCGATAAAGGTATTATTACCATCTAGTGGTGAAAGCTTGAAGTGGTATGATTAAACTCACAGTGATTGAAAGCTAGTCTAATTTTTTTGAAACAACCAAATTATCATTTTCAGCTCACTTAAAACTAGCTTAATATTTCCAACATGATTTTATCAGAAAACGACTATTTTGTGGGCATATCGTCATTATTTCTGTTGAACATTTTTACCAGGACAATAGATATTATTATAGGTGTTCCGTCGCAAGCTCAAATTGAAGAGAACAATATTGACCGCAATATATGTACCTTGATGCTTTTACGCAAAACTTGGTAAATTTTTTAATATAGTTAAAAACATTACTGTACTATTCAATAAGAAGCGAATTATTCATTATCTTGGAGTAATTACAGATAATTTATTTTGATTTTGAGTATCATCAAGCTGGTTTAAAAATCCAAAAAGTCTTTTGAACTTTTAAAGATCAATATTTACAACGAAATTGACATTTCGTAGTAAAATGAACTTATGAAAGGTTAAATAATTTCATTTTCACGAGTGGATCGAGGTAATCGAGTCGGTAAAAATGCCGAAAATGTTTGTTGTAAAATTGCTGCTCCGAAAAATGCTGATTTTGGCGATGGAATGCGAATACCGTCGGTTCGGCTATGAAGTCTTAAGCAAAGAATCTATATAATGGAGATTTGTTTTATTGTCGTAATCCCGTCGGATCCATAGTATCGCGTCGGCTGAAAGCAAGTAAGAGCGAGAGAGTGAGAGAGAGAAGAGAACGAAGAGGAGCCGCAAGTCCGCATGGTTTATACGTGTACCCCCGTAATCATATATATACATACGCCGAGACGAAGACAACGTGC